CGTTTTTTTTTTTTGGCCTCTTTTTTTGATCTGAGGATTTCATATACTCCACGCAAGCTATCAACTATTTCTTCAGACAAATGGAAACCCATTAGTGTCGCACGGGTGACTATCTATGTGCCCGCCAGGGAATTTGTAAAGCCAGAGGCCTTTATGTTGGTACCGGATACACGTGGAAACAACGGGAGAAGTGATTTGGAAAGTAAACGAGTCTGATTCTAGCTGTTGGAAATAAGTTGGCTGGGTGCGACCCACACTGTGGCTGTATGTAGTGGGAGCCTTCCCCCGTCCTTCTAGAGGTGAATTGCTGGTCATTCTAAGGAATATTAAAACATACCTACCTTTTGACAATAGCTACGGGCCACAAGATTGATGATTTAAAGGTTTGGATCTCTCAGTCTAGGTCTGGCAAGGTGTAGCTAAAGTTGATGTACAAAAGAGGGCGGAAAGCTATAGTAGCTGCGGGGAAAACTACATTTAGGTACTAGTACCTAGCGTGGTGCCTAGCACCTAACAGGATTGCTCAGAACTAGCTGAATGAATGATATTGCAACCAATACCATAGTAGCTGTACTGGCAGCTTCACTGTGGAACAAACATCGGCTTGGACAACCCTTTTTTTTTTCCCCCTCGCGGCGAGCCTACAGATAAGGCCTCGGTATGCTACGACAGAACTTCTCATTATTTACTATTCAACGTCATCCCAAGGATTTTGCTGATAAAGACGGGCCTATGAGGAGAACTGATTGTTTACGATCACATCAGCAAAAGACGCTACCACATGGTGTTCGATGCTTACTGCATGTATTCAACCACTTTAGCTGACTATACCAGTCGAATGTCCCCGATTTTGGCCTCACGGTCGCCCAGCTGCCGAAGGGCCTGGCCCTTCATAACCCCTTCCACATAGCACTGCGATACAACCGAAAAGGCCTCGACATCTGCCTCTTTGCCATCCTTAACCGTTGTGGGCCGCACTAAAACTGGTGCCGAGCATCCCAGCAGCACAAAGATCCTGTCACCCTTCCTGGCGCGCTTGATGCTCGCCCCAAATCTCCCTCTATTCGTCGTCATCACCGGATATACAATGCCAACGTGCTTATCTAGAGCCCGCACAAAGCCTTCCGGATCTGTGCACTCAGGCACCTCCCAATCTGTACCCTCGCTGCCACCAGGGAAGAAGCTCCTGAAGCGCAGGGACCACGGCCGAAATTGTTCGTCAAGCCGCGTCCGTAGCAGGTGCAAGTCAACAATGCTTGCGTGGTTCAGAACCGGTCCCCATCCTTTGGCCAGCATGGCGCCTATGCGTGCCTCAACTGCCCCGTCAAGCGATGTGAGCCAGGGGATGTCAATAACAGATGTGTGAGTGGAAACATCGTACTGAGCATCGCGGTAAAGGGTGCGCGCAATGGCAGCGCGTGGATCAGACGGCATGGGAGCATCGGAAGTCTCTTGGTCGCCCGGTATCCACACTTCTAGTCCGCCCGGGCCCCAGCCAAGATGAGGGCCAGCAGCGTCCACCACATCAACCTCGAAGCCAGCCGCAATGAGAATCTCTCCATTGGCACCCTCGATACGAACGACCGGGCTACGGTCACCAGAAGCTGCGCACGATGTACCCCACAAATACATATCCCACGTGTCGGTCAAATCGGGCACCCACGAGGCGAGTCGCGCTCCTAGCGGCGTGTCGGTAGCACCAGTCACCACCAGGTCCAAACTATCAAATCCGTGGATCAGAGCACGAGCAAAGTCGGCAAATACTCGCGGCACGGGAGCGCCATAGTCGGGCACAATGTGGCGAGATACGCATTTGGGCATCATGCCCATCAGGCCGTACAGTTTGTCGCGTTCGTCCTGGCAGCCGGCCAGGCGGCCCAACATCAGCAGCAGGCCAATATCGTCGAGGTCGCGCCGCCTGCGCTCCGCTACCTGCTGGAGACTTGCTTCTGCCGGCAGCACGCTGGAGCCGAGGCGCTCCTGGTTTGCCACCACCAGCTCAACTAGTTTCAGTATGCGCCACACCTTCTCGCGGTCGCGAGTCGCGCCACTTACGCTGTTAGCGTACGCCAGTAGTAGATGCAATCGCATCAGCGCGAAACGGAAGCGCCCGAGCACGACGACTGGATTGTAGGGGCCGAGGCATTTCTCCTGGATAACCCACACGCGCGACCAATACGTCTTTTGCACAACGAGCTCTATGGCATCCAGAGCGGGTGCCCTCTTGGCCGGATTATCCAACAGTAGATTCAGCTGGACTCGCGCCGCACCCTCGTCACTAGAGTGCTCGACAGCCTCGACGAGCATGTCGAGACCACTTTGCACGTCGTCTGGAAGAGGCTGATCGTCATTGCCAGTAGCAGTTCCCAGCCAAATGGTCATCATGAGACTGCCGCCAAAAATGTCGCCCATGCGCTTGACCTGCTTACTGCGCTCATCGAGGTCGCGCTGGTTGATGCAAATGGCATCCACCCACAGCCGCAGCCCGTCCATGTAGTCCGGGTCTGTACACAGAGCCCGCAACGCCGCCTCGAGGTTTCGCCCGACGCACACAACATGACCGTCGAGTATGATTGGCACCTTGTCGCTCTGGTCGCCCCATGTATAGCTCAGCGCGCCATAGTCACCCCAGGTGAAGCGGTGATACCGCGGATGACTGCGCGCTGGAGGTTGCGGGCCTGCATTTTCTGTATCTCGGCGACTTTGGTCCGAAAACCTGCGCCATTCCTCGTCGGTGCCTCTCCGCGAGAGCGGACGAGGGGCGACGTTGGCGTTAAAGGCACTGAAGTCGGGTAGATGGGCATCGAGCGAGACATGGTGCATTTCAGCATGGACCAGTCCGCGGCCCGGGTTCTCGTTGTCATCCTCGCCCATTCCAGAAAGACTGAGAACTCGGATCTCATTGCGCGCTTCATCCAGAGGGCGGTAGTTGTACTCAGGGATCGAGGCCGCTGCGGCTGCTTGCTGCTGAGAGTCCATGGATGGAGGCGTGGCCGAGGTGGGGACTTCATCAGATACAGGGGTGAGGATCAATACCTGCAGTTCCGCAAAAGGGAACTAGAGCAGGATTCAAAGAGTATATGGTGAGAAGCACGGGAAAACTCACCTCAACTCAGTGACACAAAAGCATGATTATGAATATGGACAAAATTGTACGTTGCCATAATCCGTAGTAGAGGGATTTGCGCATCACGGAGGAGTACTATATCCAGGCGGCCGCCCGTGCGGGGCTCTTGGGCAGCTGGATCCTTATTCTTGGAGCAAACAACTAGAGTCTAGACCATATCAAGACATGGGGGAAGAATAGGGAAAGTAAGCCGCGAGGCTCGATGTTTTTGTAGGTATTTAAACAACCCCCTGCTACTCGAATCTGATCTAAATGCGGCGGCTTATACAGATACATGACCTTCCACCCCTTTTTGATACCAACAAACCTAACAAAACAGCATCTGTCTATCATACTTATCAAGGAGCCAGGTGTCCAGTAGTCTAGGATTCTTCGAATGCCCAATTCGCTTCACTGGCCATGACCTGTTTTGAAAGCACTCTGGGGCCTGCTTCTCCCTCCTCCAAACCATTCTTCTTGAGGCTATCACTGGTCCGCCACTTCCACATTTGAGAATACACATCATCCTTGCTTTTTCCCTCAATTATCTTGACCACTTCTCTTCCCAGGATTGGTAGAAACTTGAACCCGTGCCCACTGCCACCCGAGCACACGAGAACCTTGTCTTTGCCTGGTACAAAGTCTATGACAAACGAATTGTCGATACTATCAGTATACCAGCAAAGTTTAGTTGATGAGATGCCCAACTCGGCCAGTTCTGGCATGTTCACCGAAATGAATTCTAGAAATTGTTAGCATCATTCCTTATTCCAAGGTACGGAAGAATTCTTTTCTTGCCTTTGATGGCGTCGAGAGCCTCGACTGTAATGTTGGTCTCTTTCTCGCTTGTAACGTGTGCCGTCTTTGGCACAGAGATTCTGCGTCCTTCGACATTGCCGAAATTGGTGTACCTGAACATGATATTAGTCTGTCTTCCAGGCAAATTGACAGAGTACTCACTTTGTTCTTCGGTATCCTATCTTAAGGTCACCTCCTTCCGTCATTGGCAAAGCGTAGATGGCCCTCACTTTGCTCCAAGTCACTACGGGAAAGTTTTCGGGCGCGAAGCGTTTGCGCAGATCGGGTCGGGTTTCTGGGATGTGAATCGTGGCCACTGAGCCTGCCGTCGTCTCCAGCAGCCCTTCCGTCTCTGGCACAAGTCCTGGAGTCCATCCGCCACCCGAGACGACCACCAAGTCTGCCGTATGCGTAACCTTGTCCGCAGTCTCTACGCTTGGCTTCCCATCAGATCCCACGTTGACGTTTACCACTTTGCCCTGTTCTGGGTGCAGCGCAAACTTGACGCCGGATTTGCGGGCTAAGTGTTGCGCCCAGGCGCAGCTCTTATAGGCGACGACAAATCCCGCACTAGAGTCTAGCACGGCTTTGTGCACACCAAACCTTTCCGTTCGCTGGCAGGGGTCGAGTTTGTGGCTCCAACCATTCTGCGCAGCGCGCACAACGTCTGTTGGCAGGTAGTGTGAGCGGATGCACATGGTCATTTGCTGTGATATAGTTGCTCACCTTCTTGATTATCGACCATGAATTGGGTATCTCTGATCCCTTCATGCTTCATATTCTCAAGCGTCGTGAGTTCAAACTGGTCATATTCGGCCGTCTCACTCATTCGCAGGTATCCGCAGTTCCACCATAACTTTCTGCTGCCCTTGCGCAGTATTTCAGGCAATTCGGACTCATCCGCGGCGACAATCTGCTCGTTCCACTGCTCCCAGATCTTGGCCGCTTGAAAGGCGAGTTTCTGGTACTCGATCTCGTCGCCGTAGGAGAAACGAATGATCTTGTTGAGATCAGCCGAGGCAGAGTCGATCCCCTGGCTCGGGTCATAGCCCGATGAGTATGTGTCTTGCATATCAAAGACGGTAATGTCTCGGTAGCCGCTCCGAGCAAGCCATAGCGCGGTCGAGATGCCGAACACGCCGGAACCGACAATAACAATTTTGGAATCGTGGTTGATTGACATTTTGGAGCTTCTGGGCATGAATAATAAATCCGCACAAGTAGGTGAATAAAAACGATGGCTTGATCAATACTTCTCCAATTTGAGTGCGAGTTTCTACACGAAATCAATTGCCAAACGACCCCTCATCTAGTATGGCGGATTCAAGCGGCCCTACTAGAAAGAGCCAATCAAATTAGAACTTGTCTATGGAGAAGTGATCCAATTACCCTACTCCAGCGTCCCGCTATAAACAACCAATTAAATGACAGCGCCGAGATCAGCTTCCGGCGGTAGGTCGGCAATCGACCCGAGTCACCCGACCATATTTAGCAAAATGCCCCATAAGGATCAATATAATATTGAATAACAATTGCAATATAGACATTTCTTGCACCGGGGCTCGGCTTGGCGCGTCTCTTAATAGTGATTGACATGTCCATATTCCCCAACGCGATTTTCGTGAGGTGTTACCCTATGATGGCCTTGGTGATATACAATTTGTTCAGGTCTAAGTGAAGACTGCGTTTCGGTTGGTAGGTACATATGCCTGGCCACACTCGTCACCGGATGCCCCTTAACTGCTATGAAAATCTACACCTCAATTTATCTGTCACCAGATGCAAAAAGTCACCAAAGTGTCGTCCCATCGATCCAACCGGCCCCACAGAATCGCGAAGTCCCTACACGCGTCTCGTTGTTGGCAGAGAGTATTTGGAAGATTTGGACGCCCTGGTGCGTATATATCTATCGTGAGCGGAGAGAACCGGGATTAAAAGTAGAACGACTTCAAAAATGACACTACGGTACTGTCACGAGGACTAAAAAAAGGAGGGAATCTTGGACTTATACAGGAACTTGCAATTATCCTCGTGTGCCTTTTTGCACTTTACCTTGTTCCTTCCCCTGGAGAAAGCCAACCACCTCATCATAAAAGGAGAGGAAGAAGAAAAGTCGCCACTCGATATTGGTGGAGATTAAGCAGAAAGAGATGACACATCTTCTAGTAGGTTCATATTCTGGGTTCTTGGCTGTCTGTGCGTTTTTACAGTTTCGGTTTCCAGGTCTGAATTCTCGTCATTTTCGAAAGCTGCTTCCTCTTGCGTGGGGAATTAGACAAGGCTTTTCGAGGCTGCCTGACCGGAACGGAAGCAGAATTGTAATGTGCACCTGCTTTGATCCATGGACTGTTGTGGCTCAGATTGTCCGCATCAGCTAGGTGAAGGGCTATCTATAAATTTCTCAACGCCTTCTATTGTCCCAGTAGACTACCATGTCTAGTTGAACAGAAGACAGGTCAAATTCGAAGAGTAGCTACGTGAAAGTCAAAGTTTCTGGAGCAATGGCTTGTATTTAGAAACTTCCCAGTAGCATTGAGCTTGCTTGTCACGAACCCCAGGGATCTTGGTTGAGGGTATTTAGGCAATGTTAGAGCAGGTACAAAAAACATCAACTGACATGGTTTCTTGGCACGACCAGCAACGTCTGAACTAACCATTTTCTTGTGACTTCAAACCTTATGGAATGATCAGGTAGGTGCGACGACCTTGATGGATATTCATTAAAGTAGGTCGTCACGCACTCGTTTCTCCGTCTGTCCATGATAGCTTCCTGATATGACTCGAAATGAGGTACAAAAGGGACGAGCTGCCCCCAGCTCTCCAGCCACTTTTTCTTCTGTTCCTCATCCTATTAATGAGTTGAACGAGGAAAAGTCCTAATACAAAGTGATATTTCCATACGATTCTCTCTCTTCCCCTCTATTTTCTGTCCTCTTTTTCTCATTTACTTTTCCCTCCATGGCACCTCGACCAGCTTCAGTCCCCAGGAACCCCGTCAGTACTGGGCTATGGCGCACAGGCGTCCATGCAATGCCTGTGCTACCAGACAACCACATTCAACAGCATTTGTACCATGGACCAGTTGTTGTTGAACCAAACAATATCCCGCACCAACGTCCTAACCCGTACCAGCGTCCTAATCGCCCCAGCGTCCTAACTCTGGGGAAGCTTAATCTGGTCAAATGCGGTTTGAACCACGCCAACTCCGGACCAATCCCCCACCATTGGTTCTGGAGTCATTTTTGTCCCAATTCATTGCACAACAAGGCCATAACTTTTCGGATACAGCCAACATCGAAGTGGGCATGACCCCGCTCCCGCAAAGTGATAGTACACAGACGGCACATTGGAACATATTAAGTTGAATCTACCCGTGTATAACGCCAACATTGTTCAATATCAAACCACACAATATCGGACACAACATATACATACAGGCAGCCACCAAATCTACAACATCTTCCAATCAAACTACAATATCTTCCAGTCAACGTTTCCATCACGGAACAATCTATTCAAACACCTCACTCGCTGTACATATTTTTTGCTGGCAAAAAAAAAAAAAAAGCAATACAAGGGGATATCGTTCCGTTGAGTCTACACGTTGGTCGGACCTCGAAGCTAGCCCTCCTGGCGGCACTGGTGAATGGTGGGGATCCATGGCGCAGTGTGGAAGCGAAACGGGGAAGCGATGAAATTTCAATGGTGCCAAAGATGACAAACGGACATTGGTTGCTCTAAATTATATGGTACAGATGCAATGATGACCTGTCTTAAACAGCACTGGCGCTCTTGGCCAAGGCAAGAGCAGTATACGAAAGAATCTTGAAATTGGCGCAAACCAATCGTGCCAAGAAGTTCTAATCGCGTTGTCAGTAGATGTAACAGTTAGATAGACGATGGAGCGGACAAATACACTAAATGGGGATATTAATAATGCAGCTCCATTTAGAAAGAATTCCTAGGCAGCAGCGTTTCTTATTATTGATGGTTTTTATACCACCCTTCCTTTTACCAGCAATACCTAATGTCGAACAGTCTATTATCTCCCCGACCCTATCGCCAGAAACCATCCCTAACGCCAACCAAGCCGACGCACATGAACTGATACCGCATATACTATTATGCTGAATCCAAGACACCAGACTGCTGCATAGCTCCAACCGAAACTCCAGTCCTTCTTCGATTGATCATCAAACCACTCTTGAGCTTACGTGCTCTGAGCTCATGAACCCACCTGACCAATAGCCTGATCTATCTCTCTGACGAATTTTGAAGCCTGAGACTCTCCCTTGAGACTGTCCTGGTCTACAATGTACCTGGAGAAGACGTCCGAGGACTTGATCCGATACTCAGGGACTACAATTTCGCCCTGCTTCCACTGAAAACCATGATCCGTCTGTTGACGAGTAAAGCCTTTGAGTGGTTCTGGTCTGTATTCTGGTCGTCTTTGCATGCGATATTGCACTGATGGATGGATCATTTCGTTCGTTTTCCCAAGCTTTGCTCCATCTGGTCCGCTATGAGAGTATCTGCCGGGGGTCCGGGGCTTTGAACCCGCGAGTTTCATGGTGCCGGCAAAGCTGTCAACAATGGGACCATCGGCCCAGCCGTACTGTACTTCTGGAGACACAGGCTTTTGTCCTGCGCCGGCTCGGTTCAGGAGATCGGATGCCTTCTTCAACAGGCCTTCCTCGCGTGTCTGTGGTGTAAGTTGCAGTGGAGCATGAATCAGTTCATAGCGGTCTCGAACCGAGTTGGTTGCTAGCTTGAGCAAGTTGCTGTCTAATTGAACATATGGTGCAATTTGCTCGCACATCCATGCAAAGGTTATGAGAGCGATCTCTATGGCACTGAGTCAGTCATGATCAAGGAGAAAAATGAATCGAGGTTGTCGCTTACGTTCAAAATCACACTTGCGGTCATGCAAAGGATCGTCGTCGCCTCCGCCAATGTTGATGTGGAAACCAGGGAACCAAACTTGCAAGAGTTCGGAGTCTGTTCCTTTGAGCTTGTCGTACATTTGACAGTCAATGAGCTCGGCCCACTGTGCTGATAGCTGCTGAGGAGTTGACTTGGGGTCCGATCGGACTCTCTCCCAGTCTTTATGGATCTCATCGAGTGGCTTTTTTGGTTTCTTGGTCGTTAAGTCGCCGTCGCGAGGGAAGTGCCATAATGTGGGCGAGAAGGGCGCTCGGTGCTCATCCAAGGCGAGTGCGTGGAAAGCATGGCGAATGTCTTTGACAATGTTAGTATACAACTACGCGACGCATGACCATCTCAAGTCTCGTGGTTACTTACAAGGACTGAGAGAGACATTATGGAATCCTGCACTTGGAATACCAAGCCACTGATCAAGAAACGTGAGATGGAACGGAGTCCAGGCCAGGTCGGGGACCCCTAGACTGCCGACTGTATCAAAGACACCAACAACTTGAACCTCTCGGGAAGACTCGGGGGCATCAGTGTGACAGTGTTTGCCATATTGTGCACAATTCATCTGGTCAGTGTCTTCATGAAGCCTGCCGTGCACCCACTCACGATAGGCATCGGACTTGCGGAAACCATGGCTGTCACTGTTCTCCTGGTACAGCTTGTACAAGTCTGGGAAGTCCTGGAGGTCTCGGGGCGAGATGACACCGACGTCGTTGACAAGACCGGCGACGGCTCGAGCTGTGTAGGCACCACGAGAGAATCCAAAGCAGAAGATTTGGTCGCCTGGTGCATAGTTGAGAACGATGAAAGTATACGCTTCAATGACATTCTCGACAAAGCCGATGCCGAAGCCGCCCTGGCGGTCCTTTTCCTTGTCGCTGAGTTGGCCAGTGCCGATGCCCGCATCGTAGTGGACAATTTGCTGCCAGATCCTGCCGTCTGCGTCTCGACCGACACGGGCAAAGGCTCGTGCTAGTCGAGTCACGTTGGAGGGGACATTTTTGATGTTCGATACTGATGACTGCCAGGTACCGTCGCAGCAGATGATTAGACGTTTCGGTGTGGTGGAAATAGAGGTATCCCGACCAAGCGAGCCCATCATTTGTTTGACGCTCAATAGTATGATGTTTGAGATCGAAATTTAATTTTTGCTGCAAATGTAATCTTGACGTCCAAGTAAGACCGAATTGTGGTCTCTGGGATCATTTATACTTGATCCTAGCAGTGCGAAACTTGGCATCATCCGGAGGTGAACGGCAACATTTGCCTCGGGGACACAGTTGGAACTTTTCGTTACGGCGTTTGAAGTCACACAGGTAGGAGGCAAGTAAATATGGCATTCCTACCAGAGAGTGTTGGACTGGTTGCGACGTGAAGAGGCAACTGGTTTTTTCTTTGTTTCGCGAGGCTCGCAGCCTATTTTGGGTCGCGGCAAGGGCAGAGAGCGCAGGCTGTGACTCTGACCCCTTGCTGCGGCAAATGGCGAGGCTCCCACATAAGCCAAAAGGGCCTGCTCCTCCTCTGTCTCCCTCCGCTCCCTCTCTTGTTTGGGTGGGAGGGCAGAATAAAAGCCACGCCGGCCTCTCGGCATTGATGGGCTTTGCATGAGTCAAGACGCAGGCTCCCGTGCCGATCCATCCAACCCGCATATAGTATTGAGCCTCGAGGCTTTTGATTTGATGTGTGCATGTGTATCAATGATACGCTCCAGGTCATCTGCGAAACGTGACGCTTAGAATAACAAGAGAGGGAGAGAAAAAGGTCCGGTGTGCAGCGACCGGTCAAGAATCAAGACGGAAAACGAAGAGGAGATCATTGTCGCAGTAACTGTCAGCGTCGAAAATTGCGTATGACACGAGGCTTTACACCATGTGCAGTGGCTTATCGAGGATGCGATTGACTCTTGAATATGCGCCGTGGCAGGCAGTGTTTCGTCAGGTGACGGGTGCTGCATAGATGTGCAGCAGTGCTTGAAATATGGGTTCTTGGCGCGTTTCTCACGCAGAATGGCGTTTCGTGGACTTTGGATGGATTACAGCCCGCTCTCGTGGACAATCCAAAAGGATTGCTGAATGTGATTTCCAAGACTGTCAGCGCTTCACAAGTCGAGAAGCAAAATCTCATCCATCCTGATCCTTCAGTGATAGTTCTGATCCTCACACAGATCAGGTGGGGAAGCCGCTCTTACTATACACCCTGGCTGGTTGTTGGCAGGTGGTCAGGCAGGTGGGGAGCTTTATGAAAAGCGACGCTGCGTATTTGTGTCAGACAGGATTACATTGTACCTAGTCATATTTGCTTTCAAAGAAGTGGCTAAAAAGCATCATTGGTAACTGAATAAACACCTCAATATCCCAAAGCAGCGGCAATGATGTCATACTTGAAGCGTCGCAATATTGTGCGACTATTGTGTTGGTTCTGGAACACAAATAATGAGCTTCAGCTAGGGGACACTATTGTTGAATGTCTCAGATTATTGTCTCTTGTACAAATGCAAACTATCCCCTGCCTCCAGATCCTCAACGAGCTGGACAATGGCCAAAGGATTCCTCCAAAATTCAGGATAGTATAGCATATACAAAGAATTATGGTTGATTGAAAGATTTTTAAATGCCAAAATGTTTTAATAGCTTATACAAAGTCCTCTTTCGCATAATGGACCACCAAGTGATATAGATATAGGTATATGTATAATTCCTAAACGCCATCTTGCCAATGCTGCTTCCAGAAAACGCCTTCCACATGCCAGTCATTTATCTTGGTGTGTCTACACCATTAGAACATCATCCTCATCATGGTCGCCCTCGGGATCATCATCTATCCGCAGGAAATCGTGCTGCAGAGCTTCCTCGGCACTGATGCGTCGGCTTGGGTCAAGGTCCAAGCATCGCTCCAGGAATTTGATCGCGCCCTTCTCCTCTTCCGTCAGGAATGAGTCCTTGCTAACGCCATCACTCCGACAAGTGCTCCAAAGCATGATTTTCTCAAAGCTGAAGCCCCTCTCTCCAATGGTGGGGATTGTAGTCTCGAAAACAGCGCCGTGTAATTGACCAGCTATTTTCATGCGCTTGGACCCAAAGATGGTGGCGATTTCAATCATGGCCTCAACGTCGTCGGCGCTGTTGAAGAAAGGAAAGCGCTTGCAGAGAATGGTGAGCAAGACAACACCAGCTGACCAAATGTCGATCTTGGTGGTTTGTTCCGTGCACTTGAATAAGACTTCAGGAGCACGGAACCCGCGTGTGCCGGCACGGTTGGCTCGCCTGGAAGGTCGGGTATCGTGCTTGGGATAACCATGTTGGGATCCGGTTTGCGATGTGTTTGCCGCATACCCGGCCCGAATCCGCTGCTTACGCGATTCCGGGTCCAAATGGCATAGACAAGGCTTGTTATCTGTGCCCTCCCTCTCTGCAAGACCAAAATCGACAAGAACGCCGCGCTGCTTGTCTGGGTTGTATAAAAAGTTGGTCGGTTTGATGTCTCTGTGCAGAATGCCTTTTTCATGAACGGCAGCAAGAGCCGTAAATAGAGACCGCAAATATACCCGAATATCAGGAATCGTCATATTCGAATAGTATTTCCGGAAATCTTGGTGACGGAAATAGGGTAAAATGACAACTACTTGGTCCGATTCACGGAAGGCTGTGATGAGCGGACAGACGGACAATGATTCGCGGAGATCATGTAGCAGCTCGATTTCGTTGAGGATACGAGAAGGCGAAGATGTAACATAGATCTTTTTGATTGCCACAAACTTTCTTTGTTTCTTGTGTGGAAACGATCTAGAGTTGGACCGGGCATTGGATGCGAGCTTCAACGGCGGTGGTTCCCAATGGCTGTCCTTTGCATCCAAATCCCAGCTATTGCTATACTGGTCATAACGGAGATCTTCGGCCTTGTACACCGTGGAAAAGGTACCTAAGCAACACATATCATTAGCCGGCGTTTCACACGTCTATTGTTCCATCAGTGGGACAGTACCTTCGCCAATGCGCTTCAGCAAGCGGTAGTTTTTCCTGAAGTCAGGAAACGCCTGCGTCAGCTTCTCCATATCGTGTTGGACTGTCAGGTCGATTGGCTCATTCTCGTCGGAAGAATCAGAGTCACATTCCTCTTCCTGCTCGGGCTCCTGCTCAAGTTCCTCTTCCTCTTCTTGATTTTCTTGGTCTTCCTGTTGCTCCTCTTCCTCGGTACGGTCGCGGTCGATCTCTTGGAACCCTTGGGAGTGCGATTGGGCGTAGCTCTCGTCCGAGCCGACATTGAGGTTATCCGCCATGTCTTCGGGTTGGTCCTCGTGGATCTGAAAAGGTTCCTTGGCAACCCTCCTCCGGCTCAAAGTCGCCATTGCAGGCGCGTCTTATTTGGTCTTGTAGCTTCAAGACCACTAGGCGGGATTAGAAGTCGCAAATGCCTGAATTCGAAGATCGAGGAAGCGCCTTCAAGGTATAAAGCCGTGCGTTGCGTAATATCGCTGAGCCAACAACAAATACAAGCTGGCGCACTGAGGACGAGCGCAGACAATGATTTTCCTTCTCGCGACCGAATAGCAAGATGGAACGCAACGCAGCTTGAGTCCAGCGCAACACGACAGGATACGGGCGAGGATGCTGCTAGAAAGCCATTGACCTGGTGAAAGGTCAAGGCAGTATTATTATTGTACGGATTTTGAAAGAAGACTAGGATTTCTGGTGGAGAAAGATCATCTGGTGTTGACTTTACAGTTGGTAACGGCGTTGCTACTGTGCACATCAATACTTCTCGGTTGGCGAACCCAGTCGCTGTGAGGACGCTGTACCACTTCAGTACTAGGACGCGCCTTGGGCCGTCAATTGTAAGGTCTAGGGAGCTTCTACAGGTTGCCGTCACCCCAAAATCTTGCGGCTGTCAGGTGGGCAAAGGTGGGGTCCAAGTGTCTTTGTCGAAAAAAGGCGGGGGCCTCGCTCATTTGCAACCGCGTTCCGGGGGGGTAGAAACCAAACAAAAACAAATAAACCCAGCCCGTTGCTAGAGCCACATTAGGCAAAGACATTCCCATTATTGACGGCAGAGTCAACACCAATTCCAGTCGTCCAGTCCACAGTTGCCGTCCAGCTTTGCAAGATAGATCAGCGCTGTCGCAAATGACCTCGTCTTTCGTTCTCTTCTAATCTGACACAACCAATTTGACGACCAACGAAATTCGAGATTCACCCGTTTGCGACAGGTGCGACGACTTTGTATACTTCTCTTCCTTCCCCTCACTGTTCTCCCCCGTCTTTGTTTACAACGGGCCAATGACCATTTCTTGGTGGTAAAATTTTTGGCGACGACGACCCTCCCCCCGTCCCTCCCGAGGTAGAATACGACACCGAGACCCCATATCGAAGGGCCTATTTGGCGCATATTCGCGACCATGGATGTCATCAACTTCGACATCAATGATGCGCTCAAGCATTATATGAGCGATCCGGCCAGCGTGCCGACCCCAGAGGCCGATAGTGCCCTGGTCGATTGCGAGAACGATCCGGAAACCCTCACCAACGCCGTCATCAACCCGGTGCTCAACTCGATAGTGGACGCCGTGGCCGAGAATCCAGACTTCATAACCCGCAGCGCATACTTCGACTCGTTGCAGTTCCTACTAAAGTGCGCTCCCACTTCCCTTGATCCCCTACCCACCGACAACCCTCCTGGCCTCTTTTCTCCACGTCGTAGAAGTTCCTCCCGCGTGCAAGAAGTACCCATTTCTGAGCTATTCGTCCAATCCAGATCCGTGCAATTTCTGCCCACCCATGCCCTCAGTAAGATCTTTGATCTGATCATGAGCGGCTTGGCGGCCGAGGCCGACGCCGTCAACAATGACCTCGAAAACCCGGACGAGCAGGACATCATCGCCCACCACAAGATGCTCCTCGAGGTTTATGGATTCCTGCTTCAGTGGGCCATTGCCTGCGTCGAGATCAAGGCCGCCGAGAAGTCCTCCACTGCCCCCGTCGCCCGCGCCAGGGGCAAGGGCGCCAAGTCCAAGACTACTGGCAAAGACGCCGTGTGGGACAGCGCCGCGCAGTTGCAAACGGCGCTCGATATCATGGCCAAGGTGATGCGTGTCAAGCTAAGCAAGATCTTCTTGACGACAAGCGAGCGCGACACCTTCATCGGTCTTCTCACCAGGCCCGTGTACATGATTCTCGAGAGCGAGCAGCGCTGCAAGAACACGCACATCCGCATGCACGCCTGGAAGGTGCTTTGCATTGCCGTCAAGCATCACGGCCATGGATATGGTGGGTTCAATAGACTCGATTTTGCTGATACCAAGTTCGCAGACTGACATGCCACCAGCCGCCCAAATTTCGATTGTGCAAAACTTGACCTATTTCGAGCATTTGTCCGAGCCCATGGCCGAGTTTCTAAATATTCTGTCCGATCAATACGATTACCCTCAATTAGCCGATGAAAGTTTGCGAGAACTGAGCAACAAGGAGTTCAGTACCAACGACACACGAGGCCCCAAATCGGTCTCGGCCTTCATCGTCAAGCTGTCGGAGCTTGCCCCTAGATTGGTAATCAAGCAGATGACAATGCTTGCCAAGCAACTGGACAGTGAAGTGCGTTCCGTGACCCTGCGCGTATCGACCGTGCTAACATCAAGTCAAGTCGTACACTCTTCGCTGCTCGCTCATCGAGGTCTGCGGTAACATGATTGCGCACTTGTCCCAGCAGGAGGAGCGAAGTGAAAACCACAAGTCGCAATTAAACGCATTCTTTGATGTGCTCGAGGAGCGTTTCTTGGATATTAACCCTTACTGTAGATGTCGTGCCATTCAAGTGTATACCAAGCTCTCTGAACTGGACCAAAAGTTTCCCAAGAGGCGACAAAAGGCTGCCGAATTGGCCTCGCGCAGCTTGTCAGACAAGAGCAGTCATGTTCGAAGGAATGCTGTGAAGTTGCTGGCTACACTGATCAAGACTCATCCTTTTACCGTCTTGCACGGTGCTCAACTCGCACGCAAGGACTGGCAGGAGCGTCTTGACAAGGTCGACTCGGAGCTCGCAGCCCTCCAACCTCCAGCTGGTGAGCCTGGTCTCGGAGATACGACGATCAACGGCAACCTTGTCGACGAGCCCACACAGGTGGAATCCCCACAAAAGGCCAGGGACCCAACAGACCTTACAGAAGAGGAGAAGCAAGCCATTGTTCGCAAGGCCCAAGAAGACGCAGCAACATCCGAGGCTATCGAAAAGCTGACCCTCACCAAGAGATACTACTCGGATGCCCTCAAGTTTATCGATGTTCTCCACGACTCGACGTCTACTGTGTGCCAACTTCTTGGCTCTAGGAACAAGTCGGAAGTCATTGAAGCCATGGATTACTTTGAAGTCTGCAATGCCTACAATGTCGAAGACAACATGATTGGAATCCGACGTATGCTTCGCTTGATCTGGACCAAGGGCAACAGCGATGAAGGTAAGGGAGTACAGACACACCTCATCGACTGTTACAAGCGACTCTTCTTTGAAGCGCCGGATCACTTTACCCTGAACGACGCTGCCATTTACGTCGCACGAAACATGATCAGTTTGACCTCTGGCACGACCCCTGCTGAGCTCACCAGTCTCGAGCAGCTTCTTGCTACAATGATGAAGGGTGGTATGATTTCGGATCTTGTTATCACCAAGCTCTGGGAGGTCTATGGCTACCATAAACGTGAGATATCACGATCTCAGAGACGTGGTGCCATTATCGTCCTAGGAATGCTCGCAACTGCGAATCCTGAGATTGTGGTTGGTGAGATGGAGACCATGCTTCGGACTGGTCTTGGTTCGCACGGTCGAAATGATTTGCAGTTGGCCAAGTTTACCTGCATCGCTCTGCGCAGGCTCAACCCAGTCGGTCGTCAGGCCAAGGAGTCGACGGTCAAGTTCAACCGTCTTCCAAACGACCACGCTGTGCTGGCCAGGCTTGCCGCCATCACTGATGTGCCAAGCGACAGCAAAGAGTGGTTCGGTGTAGCCGAGCAAGCTATCAACGCCATCTATGCCCTTGCCAAGCATCCAGATACCCTCTGTGGCGAAATCATTCGACACAAGACCAAGGCCGTCTTTGCCCCTCAGCAAAAGTCAGGATCGAGACCAGTATCGCGTGATACGGACGCGACCAGCACATCACCAATGGCAGACCCCCAAGGCTTGACGGTTGCTTTGAACGAGCCTACTCAAACTGTGAATCGCACACCTTCGGAGCAACCTGCAGAGCCAAAACAAAAGGCAGCCATCGCTTTGTCACAGCTGCTCTTTGTCGTGGGGCACGTTGCCATCAAGCAAATCGTTCACCTCGAGTTGTGCGAGCTTGACTTCAAGCGGAGAAAGCAAGAAAAGGAGAAGTTGGCCTCGAGTGAGCCTGCTGCCGAAGCTCCTGCACCAAAAACCAAAGGTCGCAAGTCCAAGACGCCCGCGCCGGCGCAAGAGGACGAGGGCGATGAGCTTGACCTCATTGGTGGTACCACCGAGGATGATTTTACCGAGGCCATGGCCCATATCCGCGAGCGCGAATTGCTGTTTGGACCTCAGTCCCTCCTGGCCAACTTTGGGCCAATGGTTGCAGAGATCTGCTCAAGAAGTGATATCTACAAGGACAAGGGATTGCAAGCTGCTGCTACACTGGCTCTCGCCAAGCTCATGTGTGTCAGCTCAGAGTACTGCGAGGAACACTTGCCACTGCTCATTACCATCATGGAGCGAAGCCCCGACCCAACCGTCAGATCCAATGTTGTCATTGCTCTTGGTGACATGGCCGTTTGCTTCAACCACCTGATTGACGAAAACACCGACTTCTTGTACCGTCGTCTGGCAGATTCAGACCTGTCCGTGAAGCGTACTTGCTTGATGACTCTTACATTCCTGATCCTGGCAGGACAAGTCAAGGTCAAGGGCCAGCTGGGTGAGATGGCCAAGTGTCTTGAGGACAGCGATAAGCGCATTGCAGATCTTGCCCGCATGTTCTTCAGCGAGCTCAGTACCAAGGACAATGCCGTGTACAATCACTTTGTCGACATGTTCAGCTTGTTGTCTGCGGGTGAATTGGAGGAAGACAGCTTCAAGCGAGTCATCAAGTTCTTGCTTGGCTTTGTCGAAAAGGTATGCACATTGCTCCCACTTGTCTCTTATGCCTATATTGACACGCTTTACAGGACAAGCATGCCAGACAGTTGGCCGACAAGCTCGCTGCCCGTCTTGCTCGCTGCGAAACCGAGCGCCAATGGAACGATGTTGCTTTTGCGCTCAGTCAACTGCAGCACAAGAACGAAGAGATTACCAAGGTTGTCACAGAAGGCTTCAAAATCATCCAGGCTTCGGCATAGATATTTGTTTGACGATTTAACGTGGAATGAGGTCTTGTGGTTCTGCTACCACGAGACAGGAACGCGGAATATGGATGCATTGAATGGAGATCTGGAGTTGTTGGCGTTGCCGTTGCTGTCGGCTCAAGATATCACTGTCAATTTTGTTTACCACTCAATGTTGCAATTGAGGATCCTTGTTCAAAAGTCTCAATGTGACTACTTGCCTGCGCATCATGCTGCTGCAGTCATGAGATGAAACAATTAGCATAAAAGCTTTGTGTTGAACATTGACAATGCCTACAAAGGCAATGATCTCTTAGTGAATGGCAAGTCACAAAGGCCTTTGAGATTTCTCGTACAGGTATAAAAGGTAAGGTAGTACCACGCGCACATGGATACTGACATTAATATTCATACATCAGTATTGAGATTTCAAGGTCCCCTTTGCCAACATTGTCTAAAATTGATAACTTCGAGTCACTTCTGCACAATAATTTGAGCATTAAACAATATCTATAACATGAACCAAACAGCGCTTGAAAGAGACCAGCTCTGGTCCCTGCCTTCGATGGCCAAGTTCAGACGTAACGCGATCGCCGTACCATCCGCATCGTCTTCATTCAAGGACGGAGAGGTGTGTACGGACAGGGATCAGCACTATTTCCTGGGATGCCGGCATCTTTGCTCTCCCTCGCGGCGTTGCCTCTCCCGTCCTTGCCAAGCGGCGAGCCTACGTGTCCCGGCCCGCGGTGACCTCTGTACCTTGTGCTGGTCGGCGTTGAAATGCGAGGGACGGCGCGCCCGGCGGTCCGAGAGACAAACCCGGCCGATCCGGCGGCGCAGGGTGGTGAGAGATGACCAGACGGACCAAGACACTGGCGTCGACGTCGTCAAGGCCAAGGCTTCGAGCAGACGCAGACGAGCCGCCGATGCCGGTAAGCAGTGGAAGGTCCGGGGCTACATGGGGAGGCGGTGGGAGATTGACGGAATGGACAGCCGGGCGCTCTTGACCGAGTTTGGGCGGATATGCGACGAGGATGATGCGGACAAGCGGTTGGCGCAGCGGCCTAGACGATCCGAGTTGGCGAGGAGAGCCCGGGCTGGCTTCAAGGGTGTGCTGATTGAGCATAGCTCTGTTGAGCCGGGGTGGAGGGGGATCATTGTCGAGAGGGCGAGGGCTTTGGCGAGGCAAGAGGTGGGTGCCAGAGCTACATGACCCTTTTGCTCTTCCTCAGGTAAGTTTCGGGAGGGTCGCGGCTTTACCAGCCTTTGTTCATGATATATTTCGTTACGAATAAATCAATGTTTATTGTTTTTAAGGCAGTGGAGCTGGCCAATGTATCAATTACGCAAGATATAATGGCTATTGTAATTTGATATACTACGTACATAATGGTGGTGTTCAAGCAACGTGCAGACTCGACTAGTATGACAACGCCAAACTTAAAGGCAGTATACCTTACTAAGCCACACCACTTTTTCTATGTTGTTTCATTATTCCCGTCAACGTTAAGATGTCCCGGCCCGGGCGGTCCGGTGAGCGGTCATATATCATGTCCCGACAGTTGTCGTATTTGCAGCGCCACAAAAGGCAATCTCATGAAAGCACATGAAATTCCTGATTCCCATCTAACGTTTAGTCCTCTTTCGACATTTCCTATTTGGTTTTAATTTTCAAGTATGGGCTGTACGTTTCTCATTGATAGTAATCTTCCCATCAACACAGAGGATGAGAAAGTGGCCAAGGTACTGCGTGACTTCAACGTCACCTACCACGAGACCACGGATCTACCCCTGATCGGCCGAGAGATCAGAGCGCACAAGCCTGACATTGCGTATATTCCATCGGCCGACTGGCACCGTTCCCTCCGCGACGGCGACCGCCACTATAGCGGGCTGGTGATCCCAACCTCCAAATTCACCGGCAAAACAGACCTTCCGAGCGTCCTAGTAGTGCGCCGGGACGATCCCGCGACGAGCCTCGTGGATCTCCGGGGTGCTAGTTATGGCTACATTAACAAGTCATGCACGTCGAGCTACTTTCCACCGATTGTGATGCTCCACCGTAAAGGGATGTGCGCTGACGAGTTTTTGGATATGCGCCCCGTCAAGGCGTGGCAGGGTCAAATTGACGCCGTGGTCGACGGCGAGGTGCGCGCAACCATGGTGCCCGAGGACACGTGGCGCATTTTAGGGGCCAATGCCGAGACTACCAAGATCATTGACCGGTTTGAGGAGGGAAAACCGGGCATTGTAGTTGCGCGGTGTGATCTGGACCAAAAGTTGCGTGCCGAGCTGACAGATGCCTTGGTGGAATGGACACCGTCATCGTGTTCGATTTATAGTCGATTCAAGCCTTTCCAACAGGAGGATACAGAGTCGCTCTTTCGGCAACTTGATCAGCTTCCTCCTGGATCATGAGACGGCTGCTGGGTCAAACAGTCGGTTTTGGGCAGGTTCTATATACAAATCATACGACCATTTTTGCAGAATCAAACAAAATGCCTCGAATGATATGAGGCGCAGTGCGCTACCCTCAATAGACTGCAAAAATAATTCATCCATTCCGATGACAAAGCACATGAAACGAGTGAAGTCTCTTTTTCGATTGAAAAATAACAACATATACTGAATAGAACTCAATCGCCCATCATAATAACCTTATGAACAATCCTAGCTTTTATTGAAATATGTGACATATTTGACGACCAGTCACAAAGACTTTTCGTGTATAATAATTGGAATTATATGAATGCCTGCTTTTTATAATGTTGTAATAATGAGTATATAAAGTAATGGTGATGGTGTCGCAAATGTACTGCTTATTTAGGTAATGAGAAGTCTTGTAGAGCCTACCGCTCGAGCAAGATGCCAAGCCTTCATCATCGTGAATATAGCCTGTGGGGCAATGTTGATTTTCTGGTTTTGAAGTCGGCGAATAATAGACGTTGCCAATTTGGGACTGCCATGCCGAACGCTTTTATCAAATGCAAAGTGTGTTTCTGGTTCTGGTGCTGCCCAATCAAACGCACCGCTCAGATCTCTCGGCGTCTGCGGATGAGCACCTTTTGACACGGGCAGGTGTGGTTGTACAGGAGCTGCATATTCGAGTTTTGGAATCAGCCAATGGATGGCCATCATCTGGTCACTCATATCCTGTCGCATGGAGAGCTGCTAGCGTTGGTCGTACCTAAACTGCAGATTCTGGTTTTGACATGGACCAATAATATATGCAGTTGGGCCCTTCCCACCCGACAGGGGATTGCATACACTCCGCCTCATTGTAAGTACATCAGGCTGCGCAGGTGGGTACTTGAAGCCATCATGGCCCGCCATTTTCGTCCTGGGCCATCCCTCTCAGTTTTTTGCCAGCCTTTCTTGTCGTACTATTCCTTCAAGCTTGATGTTTGTCACCATAGCTGTGTGACGGTCTGAGAGCCGCCTTGCCAGACTCATATCTCCTGGCCCCTCTTTTACACCCCAACAGAAGCTTCAGCTTGACAATGGCAAAGCAATGGGAGCCTTACAAGGAGGAAATCCTCCGCCTTTACATGATTGAGGACCTGACCCTCGACCAGGTGGTAGACTTCATGTCAACGTCTCGCGGATTTGATAGGAAGTGAGCGACCATTCCTGTCGAGCATCATCTGTGTATATTATATTGATAATGACATAGAAAGCATCAATACGAACATAGGCTCAAAATATGGGGCGCCCGAAAATACATGAAGAGAGAAGAGTGGGAGTACATCAGCCACCAACATCGAAAACAAAACAGAACACAGCAGAACCCCAATGTCTACGTCGATGGGGTTCTTCTTGCAAGATCTCGTCTCAATAGAGCATTGCAAAGATATCAACCTGATATGTCCTTGGCTCGCAAGTTTGGCAGAGGTGGGTCGTACACACAATATTTCGATTCATTTGGAATAGGGAAGCTGATCTTGAGTCGCAGCGCCTAGTCCGGAACCGTCAAACGGTCATCTCGTGCACTTCGCTACTTCGCGAGGTTTCGAGCTCTCTATTGACTGGCCTGAGTCCTTACCGTGGCTGCAATTTGAACGGCGCTTCACCATAAGTAGGTACATCCAGCACTCTGAGCATGGAGCTAGGATAGATCAAGGATATTAACCCATGGACCAGCTTTGCCACAGTCGACAAGACTGATACACTTGCTGGCCCACACTGTGCAAAACATTGGCTTGCTGCCTGCCATGAAGAACAAAAGGTCCTTTGATTTCGCTCGGGCAATTTATGTATCGTCACGCGAGTCACCGTCCGGTGCAGTGGATCTCTCATGGATGCTTCACAACTCGTGGCGATCAACAATACCTTTGACTCCCTCAAACAGTGGAGGAACAGCCGCACAGCTGTTGAGAACGATTTTGTTCCAAGTGTCAAACAAGTTATGCCAAGCGCTGACTGAACCCTATCACAATTCTTACATGACGGATCGTGGAGAACATTTGCTTGTTTTGTTCCATGAACTGCATAAAACACATCCCATGGTTCTGGGCCAGCTGCTTACCTGGACTGACCCGACGTCAGAGGCCATTATCGAAAGCTTGTATGAGGATGCGGTCAGATACGGTGATACGGCCCTGGTTTCCACACTTTTGGACGCCACAAAAGATGCAAACGACCTTTTGAACCTCAAAATATCACAAAAGGTTCTCCAATCCAATGGTAAACTCCACTTAAGCTTGGATATCCATATCAGCACATCAACGCCCTTGCAGTGGGCGGCTTCAGTCTGCGATGTCAAATTGGCTACCGTTTTGCTCAAGGCTGGGGCAAAACCAAACATCGGAAATCCTGCGCCTCTTGAGATTCTGTGCTCGAACACAAAGGCTGATGCTGCCGATGTATTACGATTCGCTGATCTCCTAATTCACTTTGGCGCACTGGTTGATATATGTACGGATGGGTGGCTTTCCCCTCTGATGGGGGCAGTATTATCCGAGAACAAAGATCTCGTCAGATTTCTCTTGCAGTCTGGAGCTACGGATGTCATCAAGCCGGCGACGCGGTATTCCGAAACAGGGATGATACATGACTTGTTTCTGACTGAAGATTACAAATTCATGTTTCCAGAAACAGACAGAACAATCGACTCAGTGTCAGCTTTGCAAATATCCATGGTGGTCAATAATAGCACAATCACGGACATGCTCATTCATTCAGTCTCGAGTCAAGAGGGCGGGAATAAAATATTGGAGTGGGCTCTTGTCACTGCTTGCGTGGCGGGCGAAGAACACCTGGTGAAACGACTACTGGCTCATCTTCAAGCTCATTTTCACGACAAAATTAGCTTGTCCAACGAAATGATTTTGGCGACAGCGTGGAATATGGACTGCCGGATTGCACGACTCTTGATAGACCACAGCACTGTGCGAAGAGAACTTCAAAACTTATCTCTGTCGCTTTTCCAGGCAGCAGCACTACATGGCAATATTCCTCTGATCAATTTTCTGGACTCCGAAGGGTTTGATGTCAACTCTGGTCTGGCCTTGCAGTTCAGATTGTGGGACCGCAAAGAATACGACCTCGCAAAAGGTCAACCGCCGCCACTTGCGTCAACTCCCATGGGGTGCGCCGTTTGGATGGATCATAAAGACGCCATAGAAGTTTTGTTGGCTATTGGGGCCGATGTGGCTGGAATTCATCTCGTATGTGCAGTACGAAGCGGGCCTCATAATTTAGTATCTCGAGTACTGGAGAGATGCAATAATGTCGACGAGTTATGGGACGGGCAACGTGCCATTGATGTCGCTATCAGATATTGTAGAGGAATGGCGCTTATCGGCAAGCTCATCGACGCTGGCGCCATTCTACACGGCCACGAGCTTGTCGATGCAGTGCGAAGTGATGACCGAGAGGTCGTGCATTTTCTCTTGCCGAAATTCGATGTACTTGCAACCAACAAAGGAGGAGAGAACGTCCTAGAAGCGGCCTGCTGCACTGGAAACCTTGATTTGATTCGATACTACTTTATTTGCCGAGGGGCTTATAGCTCTAGAGCAATGTTGCTCGCAGCCAGCAGGGCTGCCAAGACACACGACTACCACACTGTCGATTACCTAGTGACGACCCGACCACCTGGACCCATCGACGATTACGAGGCCAGCGCACTCGCTCTTTCCATTCGAATGGAGGACTCAGTACTGGTCAACATCTTGATCAGCGATCAATTTGGATTGAGTTCCGCTTTGTCTATCTACTGCTATTGTCCCAGATTAGGCGAATGGCGACGAGGAATTGGTGAAATTAAAGAACATGTGTACCCACTCGACTACGATAACCACAGCATTGGCATTGGGGATCTCTACAAGACCGATTGCACAAGGGGACTCAAGTGCTATCGACGTTTTTCACCGGTGTTGGTTGCTGCACTTATGGGGCAAGGATCACTTGTAAGAACGATGCTTAATCGTGGGCACCTCCCTGACGCATTACTTGTCAGAAATGGCTATGAGTCATCCGACATCTGCCAAGAAACCCGAGATATGATCTTAACCGCCTACAGTTCACGAATCCCTCTCATTAAAGATCAAGAGTGGAACGAACGCCTTCTTACAGTGACGCTCAAACACAACGCCGATACCAAGATCGTCCAAGAACATCTCAACAACTTAACTTCACTGGAGTTTTGGCATTGGGATTACGGTGCCCCTTCAACGAATGACCGATCTAGTCCACTGGAGTGGGCTGTTCGTTCTGACAGGCTTGAACTCGTTGAGCTCTTTCTAAAAGCAGGAGCGAATCCCAAAGGGCAAGACCCCGAAAGGCCTGATTATGATGCGTTCACCCTTGCGATCATAAGGGGGAACCTGGCAATTGCATCACTACTACTAGATAAAGGTGCTGACATCAACACTTTGGAGTGTGCAGCACTTTCCTTTGCTACAATACGAGGAGACCTTAGAGCGATGACCTTTTTGCTTCAAAGGGGCGCCGACCTTAATTCACCAGGAACGAGCGCCGGACCCCTGCAACTGGCAGCGAATCTGGGAATGATAGATGCTGTCGAGTTATTACTCACAGCTGGTGTGGATATTTATGGGCGAAGGAGAATACATTTCATAAGGGCGGTAAGATACGCTACCGAAAGATGCCATTATGCGTTGGCGAAGCTTCTCAAGGAACGTGGCGGTTGGACTAAACAGGATCAGGACATTTCGAAAACGCCACGCGCAGCACAGTACGGTCATGCTGATAACTGTGCTCGCTTTTTATATGACGATCCGTCTCTGGAGCCGTGTGAACTTTGCCCAGTGGAGTCAAAAACACCATCAAGCCCCTCCAGTGATGATGAATGCATTATCTCTGATCCTATAGGTCTGGTGGCAATTACTGAACAACTTGAGGATCAGGAAGTAGGTCCTCTGACCGACGAATTGTTGATATTGGAACTTGAACCCGACATCATTGAACATGGACGGATCACAGAATCATTCGACTGGCCTCTTGTTCCATATGGTCCCCAGGACAGGGAACTGGATAACATTGTTCAAGGGCTTCTCCTGGAGGACGGTATGATTATTGATATGGAATGAGGGAGGCCGGGACTCAGCATGGGAGCGAGGTGTTCAAGTAGTGTTTTTGTCGCTCGGCGTTTGCATTCATGGCATTTTGGCGTCACGGTCAAATAACAGAATTTTGATACCTCATTTCCGGCGTTCTTGTCGTTTCTTACTGTCGGTGCGAATATAATTGCGAGGTTCGAAGGGAAGATAATAATTAAAAGCATAGTCATTTTTTCCGAATCAAAGTCTTCAGCCCAAGAAACCGATGTCATCAAGCTCTTGTCAAACCATGGAGCTGACGCGAAATCTCGCTATCTCAAATTCTCAATTGCCACCACTCTACTGGCCTCTGTTACACACGGTTTCTCAATTTACAAATACCGAGCTCTCACCCAGGCTGAATCTGATGGAGTTTTACAGTCGAAAGGGGCAAACCTAAATGCTGTTGACTGGTTTGGACAGACATTTGTTGAGGTATTGTACTGGTATCGTGTTAATATATCGTCTCCGAATTGGGACTGGCTATTCCGCAGAGGAGCAAGAATTACAAAACGGATGATGAGTACGCGCTTATCCTCAAGATTGAACAAAGTCATATTGCCGGCTCACTGGTCATTCATAAATGTACTATTATCCCACTTTGTATATTTGTCATAGGAAATTCGATGGCTTTCTGATATGCTGTCGTACCCTGAGGTACCGAGAGTTGGGAAACAGGATCACGCGCCGTCTCATGATATCTGTGCAGGGCTCCATACCCCAGTAATGGGCAATCTTGCACAACGACCAACAGCCAACCTGCATATGAGGCGAGGAGTAATCGCCCCATAATTCAACCGGGTCAGTTGCCTTAAATATTGGTGTCAGCTTTCGGCTGTTTGTCAGGTAGCGGCTCGAAATTCAGTCTTGTGCAGTTTAGAATATGCAGGTTGCAGTCGTCGATTTGAAATAATTAATATCCGGTAGAAAGTCACATTGTACAATGCCACAATATTTCGAGACAATGTTCGGCCTCTTTTTCATCTAAATTTTTTTTTTTTTTTTGAATCTTTTATTCCTTCTAATTTATGAAGCGCAGTACTCTGTACCTTCTCGCGTAGACATTGCGCCTATCAGTAAACATGGCCCAAATTTTCGATTGGTTTTCCTCGGCAAACATGACCGCTGAGCCGAGCCTTAGTGGGGCTCGTGTAAGTGATTTCTGTTACTCGCTGTCGACGGTCATGCTGACAGCGCTTGAAGTGCTTGGCCCTCCTCTCCACGGTCGGCAGTATAGTATTTTTGCCGGGCCATACAATATACACATCATCTTTATCATCGTACTACTCCCTTGCTTCTTCGAGTGCTACACCTCTATGCATTGTTTCTCCCCAGACGGCACAAGAAGTATCGGATGTTCTTCAGGTATTAATAACGACAGCCAACACTCTCGAAGCGCACGAAAAGTCGGTTTGTCAGTTCGCAATACGTTCTGGCGGACATCTTGGTTTTAAAGGAGCCTCGAATATAGACGGCGGAGTCACGATAGATCTTCGGGCACTCAATAGCATCAACGTCAACGAGGGAAGAACTTCGACCTCTGTCGGAACTGGCGCCACTTGGGATGCTGTATACGATACACTCGATCCTCTTGGGCTCAGTATCAACGGCGGTCGAGCGGCCGGCGTCGGCGTAGGAGGCTTGACACTTGGCGGCGGCATCTCCTACTACTCACCACGCTATGGTTTCACGTACGATTCGGCATCCGACTTTGAAACTGTTGTCGCTAATGGATCAATCGTACGCGCGAAAATGATCCGGCTCTTCTCGTCGCTCTTCGTGGCGGCGCCAACAATCTTGGAATCGTGACACGCATCGAATTCGATACGTTTGATCAAGGCCAGATATGGGGCGGTATGACCTACCACCCTACCTCGACACTAGAAGGGCAGATTGATGTGTTCGTAAAGCTCAACTCGGCCGAATCGTACGACGAGTACGCATCACAAATATTAATTTATGCTTACACGGCTGTGATGGACATGGTACCGGTCAGCCTCATTGTGAATGAAATCGAGTATACCAAGCCTGTGGTCAACCCGCCTGTCTTTGAGCCGGTTATGAGTCTGTCGAGATATTACAGTACCATGCGTTTAGCCACAATGGGGGAACTTGCAAGGGACGCTGGCGGCGCGCAGGCAAAAGGATTATGGTATTTATTCTCCTTGGATTCCGGTGTTGACGCACAAAATCTATTGGCTCACTGACATTTAATCCAGCCAAGTGTGGGCGACTGTGACGTTCGAGTCAAAACCATCGATGCTGAACGCTACGTATAACCTGTGGCAAAAGGGTCTTACCGACGTCAAAAGCGTTTCCGGTCTCACTTGGGCCATTTCACTGGACCCGCTACCCCCAGCCATATACGCAAAAGGCCCAGATGCAAACTCATTTGGGCTTTCCGGAAGAACAAAATCTTTGGTTGTCATGCTGCTTACGGCCAGTTTCACCCATGTTTCCGATCAAGAAAAGATAGAAGAGGTTGCTCGAAATCTCGTATCTAGCCTACAGGAGGAAGCGCGCAAGCAAGATGCATTCGACCCGTGGGTTTATTTGAATTATGCCGCATCCTGGCAAAACCCTATTGCGAGCTTTGGTGAAGCAAGCGTAAAAGACTTGGAAGATGTGCGCAAAAGGGTTGATCCTTACGGTATTTTCACATACAACGTGCCAGGAGGATTCAAGATTCATAGTTCCGTCTAAGAAGCCGTTGCAATATATGTGTGGCCCTAGAGGTTTGAAGCGTCGGGTATATCCCAGAAAAAGTAAAGGCTTCTAGACCTTCCATTACGCGAGTCGCAATGGAATAGGCCTGCTGACAATAACAGCCAGGCTTTAAATCCATAGGTAACACTCAAGGATCGTGCACACTAAGATCGCAGTGGCTGGGAGTCTTTGTGAACTTTTTAAAGGGTCTTACCAAAATGAATTAAGAGAATAGAATAACAAAATAGCAAGAAAAGATTGGGCAACAATAATAAAGAATCAGGGAAAAATTGATACAGGCTAGTTTCAGCAACGTTATGCTGCAGTTGGTTTATTACCATGCAGGTACTGTTGGTTCAGTACTACGCTGTTGGTCAAGCAGCTGTAAATACCCCGTACGTAGCGGGAACACCCCATCATCCCAAAGCCCACTCAAGATTTGTCGCTATTACTTGCTTGGCTTTGAAAAAAAAAAACCCCCCCCCAGAGACAGAGGCAACAAAGAATACAAGACACAGACATCATCATCATCCGAAAATGTCGTCAGCTTTGGAAGGGACCATTGTTCTCACAGGTGCAAATGGCGGTCTTGGCAGTGCTATCGCTGCCAGGATAGTGGCCACAACTGGACTGGAAAGCTACCATGCCATCTACGTGGTCCGTAATGCCTCATCAGCCAGAGCCTTGCGCTCAGCTCTCAAGGAGACAAATTCATCTCATACCCATGACATAGTACCTATGGACTTGTCAGACCTCGATCAAGTTCGCGAGACCGTCGTGAGAATCAATGCAAGGATTACTGCGGCCGAGATTCCTCCCATCCGTGCCCTTATTCTCAATGCGGGCTACACCGAGATGGCACAGCAGACGTTCACCAAAGACGGCCTCGATACAACCTTTGTTGCCAATTACCTGGGCCACTGGCTGATGACCATAATGCTTTTGCAGAGCCTAGATCGTCAGGCAGGCAGAATCGTCGTGCTAGGCAGTTGGTCTCACGAGTAAGTTTGCATGTATCACTTCTTCCAGATACCCATGCTCATTTGATACTAAAAATAGCCCGTACGATCCTCAGAACAAAGCAAGCAGGCAGTTTGAAGATGACAAGTACAAAACCATCTATCACGACAATACCGAGTCAATCGCCAAGGGTACTTGGAGCTCCCCACAAGAGGATCAATCGTGGATGAGCGGTCATCGACGTTATGGCGCTGCCAAGTTGTGCGAGGTGATGATGATGTAAGCCGATATTATTAAGAGCTCTCTTGAATCAAGTAGCTCACATTTCTGTTTTCTCAGTGGTGAACTTCAACGGCGCCTAAAGTATGTTTTACCCAGTAGGTAGAAGATATGATTGGAGCATTGTTTGAAAGATGTCTGAGTTGATTCTACGATACACAAAAGAAAGGCGCTGAAGAACTATCTACTATACACGAGCAGGTGATGCGCGGTTGGTATTGGCTACGTCGGCGCTCCTCAAGGAGAAGGCATTCTGCAACGGCAACTTCACTGTCTAGCCTCTGAACATACGAAGAGGAGAAATCTGCTCAAAGACTCTACATTTATTGGCAAGATTAGCGCTAGTTCGGATGGCAATATTGAACCTGAACTCTATGGACCACCCACTCGTAATTAAAACACTTTTGCAAACGCTACAATTTGTTGCTATATCGTGTTCCCATCGATAGCATGTACAGGTCATTGCTTCCGGCTGTTCAAGATGAATACATGTTGGAAAAGTAAAGAAGGATCTCAGCCTGTCTCATTATGGTCAAATCTTGAAGTTTATGTGATTCACTGTGCCGGGAAGCCAAATCAAATGCAAGATTTTCAGCTACTACACTGCCTTTCTGGTCTTTTCTCAAGCGAGATCAGTGACGGCCCGTTTTCTCTGTGCCGCTGTTGATACCTTCGAGACCATAGTGAGTGCTATGCCTCCAAGGACATTTCCTGTCTTGACACTCCTCTTTGCAGCTCGGAGCGCTGCCACAATAGCTACATGATCATTCTTCCGAGCCCAATAAAGTGCTGTTTCTCTACGTCGATTCCTTGCGTCAATATCCGCATTGCTCGCCAACAGCGCTTCTACGACAGCTGTATGACCCTTTTTGGACGCCAAGATAAGTGGAGTATTCCCATGTACATCTTTGGTATTGGGCCACGCTCCTCTCTCAAGCAGTATCTCCACGAGAGACACATTACCCGATATAACTGCGGCTTCGAGTGCCGTGATCCCCCCAATAACAGCTGGTTCTGCATTGATTTGTGCGTTGGCTTGTAGTAGCCGCTCGGTGATGGCTATGTGACCCTGTTCGGCCGCAGCTTGAAGCGCGGTCCTTCCCCGAGTTCGTACTGGTGGTGCATTAACATCTGCTCCTGCTCGTAGTAGGCACTCGACGTTGTTCATGTAACCCTGTTCGGCTGCAGCCTGAAGCGCTGTTCTCGCCATAATCCCAAACGCCGGTCTGTTCACATCTGCTCCTTCTTCGATAACCCACTCAATCATTTCCACATCACCACGTCCATAAATAACATCTAATTTTGACCGTAATATTGTATCTGAACAATATGAATTGATGGTATGACTTCTGTGGAACTCGTATATTCGTCTCGCTACTTTTCCTAGGGGCACGTCAAGTGCCCAAACAAGTAGGCTGAAAGTGATATCGTGGAGAGAGGTACAGCTTGAACATTGGAATTCTGTGTGGGCAGATGAATTGAGAATGCCGAACAGAAACTCGGTCAGCTTTCTGTCAACCGCGATGTATGAATCCTCTATCCGTAGCACTGTTTCGAAATGCATCAATATCTCTTTAAGAACTTGTGGGCTGTCTCCATTGCCATCTGAAGCCAGGAGAGTATGATCACAGCGTTGAATTAAAGAATTGAGTTCTTCCTCTGTAGGGGATTTCGAGTCCCTAGAAACCCACTTGTTCAATGCAGACCATGATTGATAGTTCTTCAGATGTGCGTATGATTTGGAAGAATAATTCCAGTCCCAAATGAGAAGAAAATGGCGACTGGATAATCTGCCACTCTCCCCACGTTTAATCCACTCGTTTGTAGAAAGTTTGACCTTTTTCATGTTGTGGCATAGTAGAGGTGCTGCAACCACAATCACCGAGACGTCTCCGTATGGTCTTATGATGGTAGGTGTGGCCGTTCCATCAAAAAGGCAGATGAGATCATCCTTCTGAACGGGTTTAGATGACGTTGGAAGAGTCCAGTTGGGATCGTTGGTTGTAAAAGCTTGGCGCATTTCGATATTCCCTTGGAAAAGAAAACACGGGAGATGACCGAAAAGTGCCATGGCGGTCTCTGACATCTGTCCATTGAATAGCTACTCTTTGCGTGTTGAAAGATTGCATTTCGATTTTGTTGATTTTCCCGATGACCCATCCGGTGGCTTTGATGACTGCAAGCGGTCTATCTTGTTGGCACTCAACCAAAAGTCTATCAGAAATGACAAACTTGACGAGTCTCTCAAACAAGTGTTTGAAAGGGATAGTATAATCGGGGAGCAACCCGGATGTGCTCATGTCATTCGAGCTCATGCCGAGTAATGCGAATATTTTATCATGGATTTTGGTTGCCTCGCGACTGTGGAATAAATCGATCATTTGTTTGAAATGGCCCATGCCTTCAGGCAACGTACCAGGTCCGTGATACGGAGGTCTAAAAATTGACCCCTGGATGAGATATGCCACGTCTTGGATCGTTTCATGCAACTCCTGCGACTGGCCTCTGTCCTGGGTTTGAAGCCATAAATTGACTCGATTCGCGGCCATACTGAAAGCGTAACCATCCATTAATGAGCGACCACAACGAATCTGGATCTGCCGGGCAGCGCCAACTTCTTGGAGTACCTGGATTAGTTAGCGATATATTGTACAACCGCTCGCGAACCAGCCCAGTAATCTTACCCAGACTCGGCGGAACCAAGCTCGTTGGAAGAACTTGACAAGCCTTTGCGCCGAAGGTTTGTCTTCCTTGTCATTGGCGAGCATTTTTTGTTTGATCGTCCTCAGATCTTCAAACACATACTCACTCCCATCCTCATTCTCACCAAGCCAAACAACGACGCAACTTGCGCAGGCATAGATCTGGTACATTAATCCAATCTGACGTTCTTTTTCTCGATCATCTGTCTGATTTATGCACATCGCATCCACCCATAATAGTCGATCCCTGTGTCGATGTCGAAGATTTTTAAGTGCTACGTAAAGATTGGTAGTGATGGGGAGATCGAACCCGTCTAATGAGATCGAGTAGTATGACTCTGGAGCACCCCATACATACGACAGAGCCTCGAACGAGTCGGGTTGGCCGTAGAAGTCCTTTATGTCACACTCAATTAGATGACCGTAAAGGGGCGCACTATCCTCCGCATTCGGTGAGAGGCGGAGGAGTCGGACGTTGTGTGGAAGCGCCAAAGCCTGATAGACATAAGGCCTTTCCATGGTGACCAAGTATTAGCAATTAGAGCCTGTGGACTCGCGAGGAGGCAGACATAAGAGTATTGAAGAAAGAAAGAAAAACTAGTAAGGTAGTTAGGTAGCCCGAAGAATCAACTTTGCTGTAGTTGCGAGAAACCACCAGGGCCGGACCAGCTGGGTCACAACATTACTGTACAACAGGGCGGGGTAATTCATGTTGGACGAAATATCTTCAGCTTGCATCAATACAATTGCGCCTATATGAGAAGCTGCGCCCGAGGCACCTGGCCAGGATTGGGTACTAACCATACTAGGTAGACTAATGATCTGCCATTTTCATCAATCAGCCTCTCTCGATCAATCAGCCTCTCTCGATTCTGCCTGCATGGCCACTTTAGATGAACAGAAAGGGCAGCCCAAGACCTAGGTGCATGCGCATTTCTGAAGCTGAGAAACATATGCGGTTTGCTGAGCGCGGCTGTCTTTTTTGTCGGTCTCATTGATTACGAGAAACCCTCTTCAATTTCAACTCTAAGAATTGAAGAATTGCGAATTCCAATCTATCTGGTCTTTATTTTGTTGATAAAGAAACGGAAAACGCATAGAAGCTATCAAAAGGTATGCTCAGCATTCATTTCCCTAACTAGCAATACTGCCTCCTCAACCCCGGAAGGAAGACGGGGGAAGGCTTCCACTAGGTACAAATACTTTCATATGTGGGTCGTACCTCAGCCAGCCACCTTCAAAGCTTGAGTTCCTTGCCTCACGCTCTAGTTTGCCTGGCTTCCCATGCATGGTCGTATTTATTGACAGTTTCTACAGTTTCATCATGCGACCCGTTGCAACAATAAATTTTCAAATGCGAGAGCTCCAGCACAATTGACAGTGCATCTTTAATAACCTGATGGGACTTTCTCAGACCAAGTGCGCAGCATGCGTAGATAATGTGTGGCATGCATCCCTCAGTGTATCACGCAAGAATGCGCGATACTCGAGGAAACAGCCAATACGTTAAAGAGGCATGAGTCACTAGGAATCCTTACGCGAAAGAGCCTACATAGAGATAATGCAGTAACTGATGTAGCATGTGAGTGCATCCCGTCAATTGGGGAGTCGAGTCATATCGAGCAAATCATCACCACACGCATCATGTTATCAAATTTGGCATGTCTCGAACAAAAAATTTCTCTGGGATCCAACGGCGGCAGGACCGCAAACAGACCAGAGGGTAAGTGATCGATCAATAAATAGCTTCCTCTCTCCTCCAATTTCCCCTCCAAGACCTGCCATTGAATAGACGAAAGCCAGAGTGAATATGAAGGATTGTCTTTGTTTTATGATGAGGAAGAAAGGAAAGAGAAAGTCCAAGATGCCAAAATCGCGTTGCTGAAAGATATTGGCAAACGCGGTGGGTGCCAAGGCCCCACTTTAGCCTACGGCCTGGAAGGGAGCAATATTTTTCCTGCTATCGATAAGCAGCATGAAGCCTGACGTCGGGTCGGGTACCTCCAGGCTACTGGATGCTGTCCAACTTCTACAGCAGAAGAGCTCCAAAAATGTATTTATTTTCATCAATACGGTTACACCATGATTTCGAAAGGATAGCTGTATGATTTGTCCTGCAGATATCTCATTCGGGAATGTGAATTTTGCACAAGGTCATGCAAGGCATGTTCACATGTACACACGGGGTTTGGCATTGCAGACCCCTAATAACAGCATGCTTTCTAGAAGCAGGCAAAGAAATCATGGTGTTCTGGTTGGCTCGTCTTCTCTAGCAGCCACAGGCCCCACTGCGCATGTCATAGGCGGCAGTGGGGCCAAAACTTGCCAGGTACGCCCAACGCTAGCCAACCAATTGCAAATTATCCTGCTATGATGACCCCGCCATTCTAGTGCATCTGTGACTCTTTTCCATTTTCTTGCGCCAGGTCTCGTGTAGTCTATCTGGCTCGACTTTTTCAGATACGGCATCCATAGAGCCATCAACACATAAGGACCCATCGCAGGTAGCCGGACTCAAGGGAACTTCTCTGTCATCAACTATATTCCGCCTTTCGTGGAACCAGGGTTCTCCAGAATCAATCGCCCTTCTCGCCTACTGACGCCCCTCGACGTTCACCCCGCAACCAGCGAACCCCTCCATCAACCGAGCAAACTTCGATCGCACAAATCACCATGGCTGGTGGAACAGGCAAAGCCGGCGGCGCTGGTCGTGGTCGTGGCGGAAAGTTCAAGAAGTTTACCAGAGGTGGTAAGTGATCACCTTCAAGTTCTTTCCACATCTCGCGATATCCATCAAACTGACTTTTCTGCTCAGGTGGTCACCACTTTTCTCGCGATTTGAGACCCCTGGACGCCGATGGCAACGAGGTCAGCATGTGGAGCGCCGACAAACAGGAAGACTCGGACGATTCATCCGAGGAAGATTCATCATCCGAGGAATCTTCTGAGGAGGACTCTGACGATGCTGGCCCGGCCAAGGCAGCCCCTACCGAGCTGACCAGAGAAGAGCGCAAGAAGCAGAAGGCTGCGCAAAAGGCTGCTGCTGTCGCCAAGAAGAACAAGGGTGTTGTGCAAGTTGGTGACCTTCCATCCGACTCGGAAGAGAGCGACGATGATATGCCCGCAAACCCGAACCACTCCAAGGCCGCCAGAAACATGGCCAAGGAGCCGAGACCGGTTGAGGAGGTAACCGAGGGCGTGAAGAAGCTGACCACATCGACCGCCGGCATGAGCCGCAAGGAGCGCGAGTCCATGGAAGCCGCACAAGCCAAGGAGAGATACCGCAAGTTGCACGAGGCTGGCAAGACAGACGAGGCCAAGGCTGATTTGGCCCGTCTGAAGGTCATCAGGGAGAGGCGTGAGGCTGAAGCTGCGCGCAAGCAGGTCCGTGTTCCTTGGAGCACCCCCTACTTATGGTCAATTATACTAATCAAGTCATTCTGTTGCAGGCTGAAAAAGAGGAGAGAGATGCCCAGGAAGCCGATCGAAAGAAGGAAATCGAGGCAAAGGAGGCCAAGAAACGAGAAGCTGCTATGGGCAAGCCTGCTAAGAAGGGCAAGAAATAAATTCGACCTAGATTGCTTCGGAGTTTATAGTCAACACACGAGGCGACGTTTACGCCGACTTGGTATTTCCACGAATACTAGCAGACGATCGCGCCGAAGCCGAATATATATCATTTTGGACAAGTGCATTTTCATGTCTCGCTTTCCATATGACCAAGAGATAGCGAGACCTTTCGTAGTTTGTGACCATACAAAGACCTCAAAACAGAGGTCTGTTGTCCTACTAGAACAAGCTCAGACAGTCCAGGTATATGGCTAAGTGTGAATAATATTGTCCTCCGAGATAGCGGACGACTATAAAAAGGTTTCCAAACATTTACATGCCCGCAATTCCCTCTGTGCCTACGCTTTCCTTCCAAAGCTGGTCAAAATCAACACCCTCCTTCTGGAACAAGTCTCTGATCTGCTGAGCAACGACTTCCTGTCTCTCGGCACCGAACCCACCCGGCTGAGACGATTCAAACTGAACAACCTCGATCCAGCGGAAGAAGAGATCCTCTTTGCCGAGCGCCGTCAGCGCGTCTCTAAATTGAAAGACTTGTTTCCTCCTCTCATCCTCAGCATCGCCTTCATCCAACTTGTGATCCACAACCATCCAGCCGTACTCTGCCTGGTGGACCAGCACAACGAGTCTGAAAGCTTCAATCGCTGCCATCTTCTTGTCAACCATGGTAGTGGCATCAATCATGACACCCCAGTCGAGGTTCCACTCCTTGTTCATGAGAAGGTAGCCCGTCTTATCGTTGATCAGCATGGCAGACGTGGCGATGCCGACCAAGGACATGAAGACGTCCTTGGAGTTCTTGTCGTTGACGACATCCGTTACAACCGTGTCCCAGCCCCTGCTCCGGCGGGCCACGATCTCCTTGTCCCGGAATCCAGTGTTCCAGCGCCAGGCCAGGGGATTGGCGTGTTGCTGGCCAAACGCGAACTCGTACGGCCAAGGCCAGACAAAGACGTACAGGACCAAGTCGAACATGAACTGGCCAGTACGCCTGATGACCTCGGGGACCAGCTCATCCCACTCCATCTCGGCGGCGATGAGGGTAGTCTCATTGGCGTAACCCAGCGTCGATGTGAGTACGCGTAGGTACCAGGGCAGGATCACCCACATGCGCCATGCGAAGAGCGCCACAATGGCCAGGTTCATAAAGACGGGTACGAGGAAGACCTTGCGCTTCAGGTCTATGGGCTTGTTGTCCACATGGAGGATGTATATGTGCTTCTCATCCAGCGTCTCAATAAGAGGCTGCAGAACCTCGGGCGGTGCTTTGAACGGGACAGGCGGCCCAGTGCCCTTTTTCTTGGGGACGTTGAACTTGACGCCCTTCCTTTGCTTGACCATGTTGGGGTAATTTGAAACGAGTGGCTAGGTATTTTGCAGATGAATCGACTCTGAAGACAAAATTATCCTGAGACTTTTGATGAGGTTTCAGTTTTTAGAATAAAGAAATTGAAAATTGGTTGGTCAAAGATCCTGTGGCTGAAGCTCGTTCACTCCTTACATGTGGCCTACTTCGCAGCTTAGTGATCAATCAGGTACAGGCATCGATCCAATCTTTTCCATTTCAGGGGTCGGGTTGCGGCGCGTCTTGGCTGGTCGCCGGTTGGTTCCCTTAGACGGCCCCACTGTATCTAAGATAGACCGACCGGGGTCCACTAATTTTTCTTGACGTCGATGCATATCGTGGCGTGGGACAGCATTTCTTCAGTAGTAGTCTTTTAAGTGGCTGAAGCTCTGCTGCCATCTATATCCGAGCTTCCCCAATGTCGCAGAGCACCTGGCGACAGGCAATTCGAAGATGATAAGAAGAGGACTGAGCGAGGTAAAGCTTCTTTGTTTTTCAAAATCCGCACAAACTTGGCTAATATACACGTAACAGCGCAGTCCTTCGGTCTGCATGTTCTGCCAACATCGACTATCGCGACAGCAGACCCGACTTACCCAATGGAGGTCTCTCTCCAGCACAGCATGTCGTCCGAACTGGGGCAAACCCATGTTTGCTAATGCGCCGCCCAAGTCCAACACGCCTGCTCCGACTGCAGCTTCAGGTCCGGCAGCGGCTGGAGCTGGCAACGCTGCCGCAAGCCAACCTTCAGACCCTTCGGTCAATGCTTTACTACCACACGAGATCGAAGCGCGGCGACGCATGGCAGCGGCGAGGGCCGAGGCGAGCCGAATCGAACAAGAACGAGCAGCTGCGGCGGCCCCGAAACCCGGTCAAGGTTTTAGAAATACATGGAATTCCCAAAGGCAAGAGGAGATCAAGAATTTCGTTCGAAACGAGCCGGGGTTTATGCCCAGGACCTCTGGCCATCCGGCACCTTTTGCACATAAACCCAGATCCGCATTTCCGCACGACCATAAACACTCGCCAGCATTTCCCCAAGACCGGAAACAACCGCACAATGTATCCTCTCAAGCCGGGGAAGCTCCTCCAACCGGCGCATTGAGGACTCTGATGCGAAAGACCTCCGCGTGGGATCCCCCGAAGAAGCAAAGCACACATCCCTCTAGAGATGACTGGAGTTCTGGCTTTATTTACAACCAGAAGGGCTCCAAGCCATTGCGGAATACCACGCAAATAGACCCAAGTTCGACCACCAGCGCACCTCAAAATGCCTCCTCCACTGCCAACAGTCAGTGGGGCTCCTTGGCAAGGCGACAGCAGCCTGGTGGTGCAAGTCAGTCCGAGTTTTGGTCAATGGGAGAGAAGGCACGTCCGCAAAAGTCGAATCAGTCCGGGCCACTTGATGATTGGGGTAAAGAATTTGACAAACCCCAGCAGCGTCAGCAGCTCGAGCCCAGACAATCCGGTATACCGATGAGTCGTGCTCCCGCAAGAAACACCGAACAAGATGCTTCACAGGCTTTCGAGAGAAAACCACGAGCCCGCGGTCAGCGCGAATCCGTTGAAGTGACGGAACCGGCTCCGGCAACACCATCCCCTCAAGCTTTTGAATATGAGGATCGCAAGAGCCGGCGTCATGAGCCAAAACGAAACAATAAGTACGAGATTGATCGTGGACAAGATCGTAAGCCAGCCAAGAAACGTGGGGGAAGAAGCTCAAGATTTGAAGAGGAGGATGATGATGACATGGACGACGACTATGAAGAGTACCTTGACCAGCGTAAGCTAAGGAAAGAGCGCAAAGCCAAGCGCGAGGCTGAGAGGATCGGACCGATTCCGATCATACTTCCAGAGCTCATCAGCATTTCCAATCTTGCTGCTGCACTAAAGATTGAGAAGGGGTTGTTCCTCGATCAATTAGCGGAGCTAGGATTCGAAGGCGTATCACTGGACAGCATCATGGCTGGCGAGACAGCAGCTCTGGTGGCTCAAGAGTATGGATTCGAGCCTACAGTGGAAAGCGGCGAGATGAAGGATATCAAACCTCGCCCGCCTCCGGAAGATATTTCTGTACTGCCTCCACGACCTCCAGTCGTCACAATCATGGGTCATGTCGATCATGGAAAGACGACACTTCTGGACTTTTTGCGCAAATCCTCTGTGGCGGCTGGCGAGCACGGTGGCATTACTCAACATATTGGTGCCTTCTCAGTCAGCATGTCTAGCGGCAAGCAAATAACTTTCTTGGACACTCCAGGCCACGCTGCGTTCCTGAGCATGCGTAAGCGCGGTGCAAACGTGACGGATATCGTCGTTTTGGTTGTAGCAGCGGACGATAGTGTCAAGCCTCAGACACTCGAGGCAATCAAACACGCCCGGGGCTCCAACGTACCCATCATTGTTGCAATCAATAAGATTGACAAGGACGGAGCTCAGATTGATCGTGTAAAAGCTGACTTGGCCAGCCATGGTGTAGAGATTGAGGACTTTGGAGGTGACGTTCAGGTCGTTTGCGTATCCGGAAAGACTGGGCAAGGTATGGATGATCTTGAGGAGAACATTCTTACACTGTCTGAAATTCTGGACATGCGAGCGGAGACGGACGGTCCTGCCGAAGGATGGATTCTAGAGAGTAGTCTGAAGCCGATTGGCAAAGTCGCTACGATCTTGGTAAAACGGGGTACACTACGGCCAGGTGACTTTATCGTCGCTGGAACTACCTTCGCCAAGATTCGCCATCTGAGAAATGAAGCAGGACAAGAAATTGAGGAAGCTCCTCCCGGAACGCCAGTCGAAATTCTCGGTTGGCGCGACTTGCCCGCTGCCGGAGATCAGGTTATTCAGGGTGCTGATGAGCGTCAGGTGCGCTCTGCGGCAGAGTACCGCGAAGATCTTCGCAAGCGTGAGGAAGACGCTGCTGCCCAGGTCAAGATTGCGGAGCAGCGCAAACAATTGAGCGAACAGCGACGAGAGGAAAAGGCAGCCGAAGAGGGCAAGTATAAACGTCCCGATGGCAGCTGGGGCACTCAAGAAGTACTCCCTGCTGATGAGGTCGACGGCGCTAAAATGGTCAACTTCCTGGTCAAGGGTGACGTTCACGGATCCGTGGAAGCCGTGTGCCTTGCAGTCCAAGAGATTGGTTCCAACGAGGTTCGACCCCGCGTCCTCTCGTCGGCGCCCGGCGCCATTACCGAGAGCGATGTGGAACACGCCGCCACGTCCAACGCCGTCATTATCAACTTCAACTTGCCCATCTCGGGTCTCATTAAGCGAAAGGCCGAATTAGCCGACGTCAAGATACTCGACCACAATGTCATTTATCACCTGACCGACGACGTCAAGAAGCACATGAGTGGATATCTAGGCGTCGACCTCTCCTACAAGGTCGTGGGTGAAGCCGAGGTCCTGCAAATCTTCCCGATCAATATCAAGGGACGGCAGTACAAGAATATCGCGGGATGTAGAATCCGCAACGGACAAGTGGGACGAAACAACTTGTTCAGGGTAATGAGGGGAGGCGAAAAGCTTTACGAGGGTGAGACTGAACAAATTTCCATATTCTCTTTGACGCCGAAAGCAAAAAGTACTGACATGTTCTCATTTAGGCAAGCTCGAGTCTCTCAAGCACGTCAAGAAGGATATCGACGAGGCCCGCAAGGGCACAGAGTGCGGTATCGGTTTCGAACTCTTCCAGGACCTCGAAGTAGGCGACCAGATCCAAGCGGTCGAGGAGGTCCGAACCGAGCGGATGCTGTAAAGTCTCTTACATACATGCACATGGAATTCATTACATCATGCCCGCGGTTTTGTATATTTATGCCATGGGACAGAATTAGAAGCTGGAATGCCCCTTTTGTACAAATAGTTTACGTGCACCCAAAAGGCTGTCGGGAAAGAGAAATGGGCGCTTTAGATGTATCATATCAAGGAAAGATTCGGGAGGCAATGGTTTCTAGATGCGTTGGCAGTGCACATTTGAGTGCACATTTGAGTGCTCCGCCAAGGTTACGCCATGTATGAACACCTCATGACGATAATAAGACTATACATATTCCTCTCAAGTCGAAGAACTCAAAGTCTGGTACGCATGATTCCTCAGGATAGCCACTGAAATGCTTGATTGATTTTGATGGCACTTGAGCAGTGGAATATATATTTGGAAAATCTTAATCTTCATCTTTTTTCCCCCTGACGAAATTACCTCAGTCTATCTTGATTGTCAAGTTTTCTTCCAGTGCCGTTTCCCCTCGTCTATCATCCGCAGGAACCTATCTCGACTATGCAAGACCAAACTCGGGGATGCTGCCGACCTCGGTTTTGACTTCGTTGTCCAACTTGTAGCTCACCCTCCACCGCAATTTGATACTCTCCACCTTCTTCGACTTGTCGCCTGCATGCCATACTTGCATCGTCTGCGTCACGCCATATCTCTGATTGGGACCCAGGTTGCGTCCAGTCTGAGGTTGAACTTGCAGCTCGTAGCCCTAGAGAAACACTATCTTAGCAAGGGACGGAAGGTCAGCTGGAGTATGCTGTAGTCAACTTACCTTGGTAACAGCAAGCTCAAAGTGTAGATCACCAATGGACTGATTTGTGGTAGTATTGGAAAAGGCAAAGGACAAGGCAATGGCACTAGGTCCTTGAGGGGATCTCGCAGCCTTCATGTCAATCTTGAGCTGTCCTTCCTTTACCGAGGCAGAATGTTCTTTAGGCAGCGCAGGGGTCTCACTCGGAAGCGCCGAGGAGAAGGACCACTCGTCATCATCGTTGGATGTGACGGGGGCGGGTACCGCTGGCTTGGGGGTTGCCGGCTTGGAAGAGAATTGCGAGGATGCCAAAGCAGCAAAGGGATCATTAGCAGGTGTTGCAGATTTGGGAGGTGCAAAGGCAGACATGATCGATGGCTGGGGGGTATTAGATTGAGAAGCTGAAGGCGCTGAACTGAAAGCTGCAAAGGGAGTAAAGGATTGTGGTGGCGGCGAAGTGGTCATCATCGGGACACCTGTTGCCGTCGAATTCTGAGTCGTTGATGACAAGAGGCCAGGAACATCTATTCTTATTAGTTGACAGATCATCGTCAAGTGGAATCTTGGTGTACTTACTGGTATTGGCACCAAAGCCCAACGATATGCCTCCTGCTTGACCAAAGCTACCACTATCGCTCATGGAAAGTCCAAGCAGGTCATTTTCCAAGCCGCTGCCCTGTGAGCTGGGTCCAGCATTGCCTGAGCCATTTGTCGCAGAAGCATCGCCATCAAAGTCAATCAAGGACAGCTCATTGGCGGCAGAACTGCTACTGCCTGCCTTGGCTGAACTCTGGAGTGATGGTATCGGAGCACCCTTGGCGATCTTTGCGGCGCCTTCAACGTCTCCCTTTTTCAGCAGCTTCCACCTCTCAACGGTGCGGTGTATGCTGTCGTTGATTTCGAGCAACTTGGCAACGGCCTCGTGGTCTTCTGACTCTTCTTCGCACATCTTTTGAATCTTGGGTTGCGCGCTCGACAAGGCTGCCGCGAGCTCTTCAAAAACGTCTCCCTCCTCGAGTTTGTCGCCAGGCTTGAAGGCATCTAGCCTCTCCTCGAGAAGCCTAGCCTTGGCCTGGATCTTACCGACTTCCTCAGCGGCTTTTGCGCGGTAGTCAGTCTTGGACCGTGTATCATAACCAGCCATGACTTTCATGAGCTTGTTTGCCTCGCGCAGATCTTCGGGGGTTCCACGACGGATAAGTTCTTGAAGTTTGGCCGATTGCGCCTCCTTTTCTTCTTCCGCCATCTCCTCGGCAGACTTGAGGTTCTATCGCAGTATGTCAGTATCACCACAAATGAGCCCCTATCCTGACATCACTTACATCACTGGGGTTGAGCACTGCGGCATCATCCCTGCGCACTTCGGGAAAGGTGTAGCCCTTGTAGCTGAGCAGCCTGTGCATGTCCCGAATGAACCCTAGATCCTCCTTGTACCGACTCGTCTCGCATATTGTGCTCCTCCACTCTTCAATGGCCTCCAAGATCTTGGCTTGCACCCGGGTTGGTCGAATCGGAGGTCTCTCGGGGAACCGCCTGACGAGCTCATTGAGGAACTCCTTGGTGCTGATTTGCAGGTGGAAAGGGTAGCCACAATTCTTGACGCAAATATCGAGCAAGTTCAGAGCCAGCATGGCAACATTGGTGTTTCGGTGGTTGATGTAGCCGACGATGGCGACGGCCGCCTCCCGGGGCGCGCTGCCCTTCTTGCTGTTGATCAGGTCGGCAATCTCCAGATTCAGGGCCAGATTTGGCTCATAATTCTCAGGGCTGCAGGCAGACGAGATGAAGCGCTGCAGCTTTGAAGGGGTCGGATATCCCATCTCTCCCCAGCGGTCGCGAGCCGCAGCGCGAGCGGAGGCTGCCTCCATGGTGGGTTAGATGAATCGGTGGGTGTATCCCGCAAGATTGGGGGGGATGGAGCAGTGAGCGGGATCGACAACAAGGCACGAGGATGCAGCAAGCGAAGCAGTAGGTCGTGTCGTGTAATCTCAAGAAAGGAAAGCAGCTGCAAGATCGCTCTTCTATGGACGAAGCAGCTGCTCCATTGGCGATGCGCAGTGGTTGAGCGCTTTCGTGGCCACTCCGTCAGTTGTGCAGTCAGTTGGGAGTAAACCTAGTCAGTAACGGGCTACCTGGCGTCCAAAGGGGATCTTTCGTAATAAGGCCAAGGCATCCCACTTTCTGGCGCGCGACTCAACTGACTAGGTTGCAGTACTGCGCTTAAGGTGCCCGCCCAGATAGGCCGGCAGGCCGGGAAAGCCTGGACTTGCTACTGCTTTTAATTGCATCTCAGCTGGGGGTCCGGGATGGAACAGGGGTCTGATGGAGGATGGTTGGGCCTGTTGCCGACGCTACTTATTCACTGGCTGGCTCGAGGCTCAGTATGCTATAGCACCGGTACCTACTATCAATCAATGAATTGTCCCTGGGCGGCCTATCCATCTTGATAATTGCATATCTAGCGCAACTGAAAATTGCCCCTCCAAATGTCACCAAAGTTTTGGCTGTCTCTGCCGCGGGGCATCAGCTATTGGATTTTCTCTGGAGCTTGTAAAGACATATTCTACGTCAAAATCATTCGACATTGCTCATCACAAAAATAACTAATTCTACAGGAGTTTTCTCTCCAAAAATCTACCATGGTCCGTCACAAGAAGGATTTCAAGGGAGGAAGAGGCGGCAAGAATCACGGACCTCCGAGAGGACCCCCAAGAAGGCCCCGCGGCGACGGCGACGACGATGAAGACAACTCTCAGGGCAGCAGCCGCCCTTCCTACAAGGCCGCATGCTGGGACTTGAACCACTGCGACCCGAAGCGATGTTCCGGCAAGAAGCTGATCAAGATGGGCATGATGCGCGATCTCCACGTTGGCCAGCGGCACAACGGCGTCATCATTACGCCCAACGGCAAGCACACCATCTCCCCTGCCGACCGGGAGCTCATGGAACAGTATGGCGCGGCCGTCGTCGAGTGCTCGTGGGCGCGGACGCAAGAGATCAACTGGAGCAAGGTCGGCGGCAAGTGCGAGAGACTTCTCCCCTACCTGGTGGCGGCCAACACGGTCAACTACGGCAAGCCTTGGAGGCTGAATTGTGTGGAAGCACTGGCGGCCGCGTTTGCCATCTGCGGGCATTTGGAATGGGCCGAGGAGATTCTGTCGCCCTTTAGCTACGGCCAATCTTTTCTCGATATCAACTCCACCATCCTACGAAAGTATGCCGCCTGTGCTGATGAGGCCGAGATCAAGAAGACCGAGGCTGAATGGATGGAGCGCTTGGAGAGGGAGTATGCCGAGAGCAGGCTAGAGGGCGATGACGACGATTTGTGGAAAGGTGGCAACTCGAATCACAGGATAGCAGTGCCGTCAGACAGCGAGGACGACGACGAGGACGAGAGTGGTGATGAAGATGACGAAGCGCGTTCGGACGGTGAGGATGGTGTCGACGGGATATATCTTGGCAAGAAGCCCACAGCACAGTGGCCCAAGATTGGAGAGGGATCGGAAAAAGCTGAAAAGAAGGACAAGGACCCCTTTGATATTTCCGATGACAGCGACGATGATGCCGAGATGGAAGAAATCCGACGCAAGGTCCTGGCATCAAAAACTTTTGCCAACACAGATAATGCAGAGCAGAAAAAGAAGCCGGAAACGATATCGCGGCCACAGCCTGATCGATACAAGGTAGACTCGGATGCCGCGCCGGACTCTGACAATGGCGAAGACGATGATGAATTTGACAATATCATCGACGCTGTGCCCGTGACGGACAGGGTAGGCTTGTGCAAACTGGAAAAGGAGAGAGCCAAGGCACACACGACTAGTCACACCTTCATGTCGGGCGGTGTCTCGGCACCCAAACGTTGGTAATTTGGGACCGTATAAACAATCAAGAGGATGGAGGACTACCGACAAGAGTCAACCTTGCCCGCAGATTGAAAGCTGGAAAGAGGATATTGCAAGGGTCGTGAATCTGGAGAGCAAAAGATGCGCACAAAGACTCAGGACGTCGAAAAGCTATTATTACATTAGGGATTTCTTTCCTAGGACTGTCTTATGTACTGCTTTCGTCACGGACAACCTGACCTGCCACGACTTCGTAGTCAGCGGTCACACTGTTATTATAAGCCGACACATCTCTGTAGTAAAGCTCATCACCCGTGGACGAATAGTCCCCATCACCAGCCAGCCCATACAGGTAGAAGATCTGGTGCGTCTGTCCGATACCAGTCGTGACGGTATTATCGGCATAACGCGAGTAGTTTGCTGTACCGTTTCTTTCCGTGTTTATTACACTGGCAGCCCAAGTCTTACCATCAGCCTCAAAAGCCTCGAGCCCCGTGGCATAAACAGTGTTGCCTTGGACCTCGAGTTTCAGCCCCTGATTCAGCTCCGCCCACAAGGTCAGGTTACCCTCGGGCAAATACGTCGTAGTGGTGTTGCAGTAGAGCGGATACTCGAAGCTCGTCTTATAGTCCCAGCCGGGGACTACTGCTGTTTCAAGTCCGGTGGTCGAAAAGGCGTTGATACCACCGTATCCATAATCGTAAATACCACCAATATTGGAGTATGACAGGCTTTGCGTCCACGTGGCCGTGCCGTTGCCCTTTTGCGTGCTGAGCTGTGAGGTAACGGAGAAATCACGGTTGACGACGAGTTTGTAGTCGAGAGTCTGGTTATATCCTGTCACGTTTTGTGTGATGATCTGAACAAACTCAATCGTTGGATCCTCATTCGTACTTGTTTCGATAGTGCCAGTAGTGATTGAATCTTCGTCGTCGAGCCAGAGGAACACCTTGCCTACAATGTACCAACTGCTTTCGACAGTGTTTGACAAGCTGGCGCTTGAAGTTCCATCATCTACCAACCCCACCAATTTCAAGCTAAAAGTGTGATTGTTACCGTCACAGAGAAGAGGCAACCAAGGACTAATGTCTATTTCGTGGTCGCGTAGGTCGAATGCATCAATGCCCACGATAGGCCGGTGAAGCTGTGGCACTACTCCTCCGGTGAAGATGACTGGGTAAGGCCAGTGTACACCCGCCAGTTGACCATCAATGAGGACTTGGAACTCTCTCCAAGGTGAGTAACCGGGATACTCGCCGGCAGTCAGATCGAATGTCTCGGTGGCAGACTCGGGCACGTTGCTCCACCAAAACTCATCACTTGCCTGCGCCTTGACAGAGGCTGAGAAGACGGCACGATTCACGTTGCGGGGGAAAAGCAGCGAGGTCTCGGCGGTCTCATCCGGAAAGGTCCAAAAGCTTGCCGTCACTGGACTCTTACCTGCAGAGACGGGTAGAATCAGATCAGCGGGGGCTTGGCCTCCTATCTGGACGGAGCTCTTGAAGAAGGTCGCCGTGAGCGTCGAGTTGAGCAGGCCAGTGTAAACATCGGTTACAACATTGTCCAGCTCAAAGATGAGGGTCTGCGGTTCTTTCCAAAGTGAGAGGTACGGCGTCACATCCTTGAGCCATGTCCAGCTGATACCATACGATGTGGGCTCGGCGGTCGATGTTGAAAAGATTTCGACATTGTCCAGGTACACAGAGCCCCAGCGGTCGTACTGTCTCCCCTTGACCTCTACAGTAAAGTTGATAACGACGTGGTCAAAGTCAAAGTCGGGGGGCGTATAGTTGCCGACAAACGGGGTACCGTAGCTGTTGGCGAACTGGTGATCCATCAAGGTGACCGTGTACAGCTCAGTTCCGCTGTCCGGCTGCAGCAGAACCGGCTCGGCCACCTGAAAGGTCTCGAGCAGAGGCGTGGCCGTGGCGGCCACGGCCGAAGACGTGCTGGTCTCTGCTGCCATTTCCAAGTCGAATGCCAGCTGGCCGATCTGTGCTACGAGGTTTTGCTTGACCTGAGGAGCTGCTGCTGGATCTTGCGCGCCCGCCGCACCGGCACCCAAGAAGCGGGCATCTTTATTTTGTGCCAATTGATACCCATCGACAATGCCGTTGTAGCTGCTCGTGACTAGGAGAAGCCCAAGCAGCCTAGTAATGTGACGCGCTGGCGGGCAGCAGCCAGAAAGCCAATTGCCGGTAGCAGACGCCATGTCGTCGTCGACAGAGTTGGACCTAGCTATGTTGACCGGGAACCTCCGCTGACTTTGTTCTTTCTCATGAACGCCAGTGAGGAGCAGAAGGGGTAAGAGAAAGAGAAAGGTCAAGGGAGCCCCAGAGTGGTTGAGAGATGCAAGCAAGTTTTATTACAGAATGTCCATTACTGTGGTTTGTTCTAATAATGGAATCCGAGCTCGATCCGAACCCGGCAGCTTGTCTGGTTGCAGTGGTACCTGGGAGCGGGAAAGGAAATCAATGAGAATCATGGTGGTTGATGATCTACGAGCGGGGCCGGATGGGACGAAATGGATCCCAAAGAGGCAGGTGAAATCCGCTTAACCAGCGGGTCGTTGCGGGTCCAGCGTTAGCAGTCCCGGACTATCGCTGCGAAAGTGGCGAATGGGATCAGAGAGCGATAACGTTATAGTCTGGGGGTGTCCCGTCTTGGTCCTGGTCCTGGTCTGTGCAAAGGGGAGAGAGGAACCTTGAATATTGTTCGTGGAATTATTGAGTTTAGTTTGACAGAAAAGCCATGGATAGTCGTCGTCATCGCAGATGGAGACCAGATAAGTGTAGATAAACTGTAGACTTGGTTGACTCAATATGACAAAGCTTGACCTGCATCTCATGGTCATGATGCACAGGTACTCCATCTCCCATGTGGTTGGTTAAATGCATGGCAGGAGGATAAGATAATAAGAATTATATTATCAGAGTTTGAAGTCGCGCCCTGGTGTAAGTGTCTGTGGTCGGGTCGCACTCGATGGTATGTGAGCGGGGTGAGGCATCGCCAAGAGATGGATCGTGCATGGAGATAGTACTATGTACATACACGTTGTTAGGCAACCATTGATCTGGATACGCGGGGAAGGAGATATAAAATTAATGTCTAAAACGGAAACAAGAGTTTCCAGAATAATTCAAGATGCATATTCAAATGCAGTTTGAGTCAGTCGATTTAATTGATTATAGATTGGATGACTCGAGGTAGTTAGTAGTCATGGCAGCACCTCCCAACAAGTTTCCATGGGACTATGATGTACCAAACGACGCGTTTTGGACTTCTCTGCCCTTTACTACAGGCCGTAATTTCCTCCAATGTTTTCAGAAATCAGAGATTGAAGCACTGTCATCACAATTCGACGCGTCTCTTTCCACCGACGATAAGCACAGATTACTACTCAGGATCGTGCAGGCGAAATTGGCAGAGGCACGAGAAGCTGCAAGCCAAAAGTCAAATCATCATGGCGGCAGCGGCAAATCCCCCTTGCTCCTCCACGAAATCAACTACGACGCATGGCAAAAGTTCATGCTGGCACAAGAGACCATGCAGCACAACCTAGGTCTCGTTGCCGACGAGGAAGCGACTTTGAAGGAAATGCTAGCGCACCCGCGGCCCGGCCAGGACAAGAACTGGTCGGCGCTCAACATGATGTCGCGGCTGCTCGAGCAACAAGGCCGGTACGCCGAGGCCGAGGGCGCTGCATTGGAGGTTCAACCGTGGATGGAAGCACACGCGCAAGTTGGACGGGGCAGTCCGCCGGCCATGGGCAACATGCGCATGATTTTGACGGCCGTTTGGAAGCAAGGCCGTTTTGATGATGCGAGGTCTATCTATAAGGAAATGCACCACTTGGTCGATGACATGGGGAATGGCAAGTTTGCGCAATATCAGGAAGAAGAGGCGGAGATGCTCGAGACGTTGATGACTGATTTGGAGAAATGGAAACTACAGCATCAATGACCTCATGGATCACAGATGTCCGTGTTTTGTTCTGCATGGCATTTATTGCCATTGTGCAGTGTGCTACTTTTAGAAAGAACCTCGTCTCGGGAGGGGAGCCAATTGATTAGCGCCCCAGCTAGGTGCTCTGTATAATACTCTAATGGAGTTCACAAAGACCCGCACCCATAGTGGACCGCGCAACAAGGAGATCGTCGACCGGCCAATGGTCAACCACAAGACCCAGAGCTGTCTGGGGTATAGAAAAGAGAAAACAATGACGCTGGATCACAGGGCCAGTCTGCCGTCAGCCCTACGAAACACTAAAGTTGACTGTTGCTTCTAGTGCAAAAGCTCAAGTGTGAGCCCAAGTACCGGGTTCAAAGTCAAATCGACACTACCATCTGACAAGCCGATTATTCGTCTTTCCTTTTCGAGTCTCGGCATTAACACTTGGTTTTCTCGGCAGAGAATGTTACCAACTCGGCAAAACAATTTTCACTTGTCGAATCTGGAGGTATAGGGCAATTCTGATAAGTGGGTAGGCTTATCTAATGTCTGAGGTTGTCTATAGGAATACTTGCCCTAGCGGCCGACTATAATACTCGAATCTGATATTACATCACAAATGTCCAAGACATCTGAGATCCGAAGCACCGGCTCACGCATTTATTCACAGCCTGTCAGATTCGATACTCTGTTCAGTAATAGATCACATCAGAAGATTACAATCCAAGGCCGCCTGTACGTTCGGCCGGAGAGTGCAAAGCACATTTTCGGACAAGTCTTACACCGGATTACTACTCGGCCTCGGGCCAAGAGCTGGCTGGTATCCACAACACCACATCCCCTCAAAGCCCTCTGTTACATACCACTACAACTTATACCCGGCCCGCCCGCCCCGTCCGCTTCGCTTCGCTTCCCACCTTCATGCCACCATCATGACGCCGTTGCAGTTCCTTACGTAAATCATCTACTCCTCTCTGCACAGTGATCAGATCGCCCGTACCAAACCCCTCTCTCCAGACAAGCAACCGAGAAAGGCGCGCCAAATAGCAAACGCTGACCCCCTCCCCCCACACGTACGATCTCCTTACAGAGCCATAGTATGACCCAGATCAGTGAGCCAAAGCCCTTCCTTGTTCTAAAAGATGTGGTCAGCCGGATATAAGTGCAATTGTCATGGTATCATGGTCTCAGACAGACAGTTGTAGGTGGTCGTCATGGCTTACAGCCCGTAGACTCCGGGGGGTTTTGTGTTTTGTATATAACATGAATTCTCCAGAATAGTTACGCATGACTCTTCTTTCCCCAATGCTCTCCTTGCGACCGAAAAATAAGTTCTTCTTCTAGGATTTTCTTTCACACGTTCTAATCATGTGTGGATTGTGTTGTGCTATTACTCTCAAACGTCCTTCTCAGGGTGGTCAAAGCAATGATGCAAATTCTAGACAAGAATTACATGACAATCTCCTAAAGGGATTGGATCTCATCAAACACCGGGGGCCAGATGCACAAGATGTGTGGATTAACCCAGGGTGTACTGTCGGTAAGCTTTTGAACCCGAAATGGTCGATTGATATACTACATATAAGGGAGGGAGAGGGGGGAAATAAAGACTTGGCCACTCATGATTGAATAATTCACCACAGGTCTGGGCCACTGCCGCCTCTCCATAGTCGATCTCTCCAAAGAAGGCGAGCAGCCCCTGCACGACGACGAGGGCCACCTTCACGCCGTGGTCATTGGCGAAATCTACGACAACGCCGCGCTGACGGAGCAGTGCGCCCGCGAGTTCGGGTACAAGTTTCACGGCCGCAGCGACTCGGAGCTGGTGCTGGCCCTGTACAAAAACTATGGCGCGCCGGCGTTTCTGGACCACCTGCGCGGCGAGTACGCGTTTGTCATTTACGATGACCGCTCCGGCGAGGTCGTGGCGGCCCGTGACCGGTTTGGCGTCAAGCCGCTCTTTTGGACCGTGGCCGGGGATAAGCTCTTGATTGCCGCCGAGGTCAAGGCTTTCCTCCCGCTGGGCTGGAAGCCCGAGTGGAATGTCGACGGCATTGTCCTAAACTCGTGCTATGTCGGGAGTGAAACCATTTTCAAAAATGTTCACAGAGTAGGTTTTGCCGAAAGAAGAAGAAAACGAAAAAAGAAGGAGCTTGCGTACCTCTGATCTCACTGTATCAACTAACGTTTATGAGTAGCTTCGGCCAGGACACTACCTCACCGCTTCTGCGGATGGTATCATCAAGACGCAAGAATATTGGGATTTGCAGTACCGTGACAAGGTACAATGACCTCTCCTGTAGCGAATGTCCGTAAACTGACTGGAATACAGACACATGTTGAAACCCGTTCAGTGGAGGAGATGGTGCAGGCAGTGCGAGAAAAGCTCATTGAGTCGATACGTGTACGATTGCGAGCCGATGTGCCCGTGGGTATCTACCTGTCTGGTGGTCTGGACTCGTCCACCGTCGCTGGCATCACCAAGTACCTCATTGAACAAAAGGGCGAAAGGATAGGATCGCAGGACATCAGCAAAAAGATTGCCTGTTTCACGATACAGTTTGACAAAGATTCGGGCTTCAACGAGTCTGGTACGTTGGTCTCTTTCATTCAATTCACCTGTCAGTGACGAGATACTGAGATGATTTGCTTTTGCCTTAGACATTGCTTTACGAACCGCCAATTTCCTCGGCGTCGACATGCACGTCAAGGACATGAACGAGGCCGAAATGGCCCGGCACTTTTCAGACGCCTGCTGGCACAATGAATTCCACAGCTGGGATCTGGGCACCGTGGGCAAGTACGCCCTGTCCGAGCTGCCGCGCCGCGAGGGCTTCAAGGTCATACTCAGCGGCGAGGGCGCCGACGAGCTCTTTGCCGGCTACCCCTGGTTCGTGTCCGAGTTCCTGCTCGAGCCCGACCCGTCCAGCCCGCACCTGGACCTGCAGCGAGACGACGCCCTGCGCGCGCGCCTCGGCGCCCAGGCCCGCCGCGACATTGAGAGCGTCTACCGCAAGGTCAGCGCGGGAGATGCAGACCAGAACGGGAGCGGCAGCACGGACGAGATTGCCCCCGAGCTCCGGCAGCGGCTCAATAATGTCCGCAACCCGTACTCGATGGTGACGCGGCTGGCGCCTCAGGAGATATTTACGCCGGCGCTGCAGGCCAAGTACGACAGCATGGACAAGCTGCGGCGCGTCGTGGACTCGTGGTCGCCGTCGGCGCAGCGCAGCATCATGGACAAGTGGCATCCCGTCCACACGGCCATGTACGCCTGGAGCAAGTCGCAGCTGCCCAACTTCATCCTGACGGTGCTCGGGGACCGGACGGAAATGGCGCACAGCATCGAAGGGCGGCCGCCGTTTCTGGACCACGAGCTCGCCGACCTCATGGGCGGGATCCCGCCGTCGCTCAAGATGCGCTACGGGCCAGAGCTCGGCCAGGGCCCCGAGGCCGGCGACAGCGCCTGGTGGAACAAGGACGAGCCGCAGGCCGCCGCGCAGTTTTGGGAGAAATGGATCCTCCGCGAGGCGGCCAAACCCTTCATCACCGAGGAGCTCTATCTGCGCCGCAAGCACCCGTACTCGGCGCCCATTACGTGGCCTCGGGACGGTCCCTTGCACAACCTGCTCAAGAAGCTGCTCACCGAAGAGAATGTCAGAAACATTGGCTTCCTCGATTGGCCCGAGGTGAAGAGGTCGTTGGAGACTGGATTTGGTGATGGCGCCAGTGTTGCGTCGACCAGGAAATCTCTGATTGCGGCCAGTCTCGTAACGCTGAGTCAAAGATTTGGGATTGCTACGGCTCGCCCGGAAAGAGGAGCCATGCTGTAGAAAGTTTGCGGGATGGCCGAAACTGCAAGTGTTGACTTTTGTGAAATTGTTTAACTAATCAGCGGATAGCTTGTATATCTCCAACTTTGAATGATGAGGCAATCACCGATTATCATGCCAAGACTATAACCGTAACCAGAAATTTGATAACTTCTTCTGTTGTCAACCTACACCACTCATCTTGCAAAGTCGAGTATATATCTCTCAACAGTACCAATTTCACCAAAAACATCAGACTCGGCTTGTATGCAAAATGTGTCAATGATCAAAATTATCCGCTACATAGTAATATAGCAAGAATGAGCAAGATGCTTATTCTTGTCGTATGCAATATCTCTGAGAAGGTGTGAAAAAAAGGTCTCTAAACGCCCAGCCATGTTGCCCCCCATATGTTCCTCCATGTTTCCAATTTGCTCACTTGCTCCAAAGAGCATGGGATTGACTTGAAAAGTCCAACCTGACCTGGAGTCATCTTCCAGGCACTGGGAGAAAAAAAAAAGATAAGAAATTAGAAAGAGAAAGAAAAGATCTTAAAATAAAAAAAAATGACTGGGTCATGTAAGGTATCAGTTGGCAAAGAGCCAAAAGGTCCAGCCATAGAAATGCAGGTAAGGCGAAAGGGAAAATGCCATCTCTTTGAGTTTTGCCAACCAACTCCTGTGTTTATCCCAGCCTCCAGACGATCCAGCGTATTTGCGAAACCATTTTTCTTGCCTGCCCTGACGGCATTTGAGTGAGATGAGATTCTTTTTTTGCAGTCAGTCCACTTTATCCCTTGTCCAAAATGAACCCGTCTCAAAAGCCTTTTTGTGCCTGTAACATGGCCGATGCAAATGCGAGATGCAAAAGGATCGGGCCAATCAAGTATTGCGCCAGGTGTGATGGAAATAAAATCTGGACATATTTTATGTCGAGTTACGCAGGCACCGTTTTTCCTCTTCGTTTTTTCTCTTTTACGAAATCGTGCCGTTGTCCTAGGAACAGGTCGTTTGCTTCATCATGCATGTCTCGTACACATTTGTTAACCGTCTTCTGACCAGTCGTCCAGCGGCCCTGCTGCGATTCAGAGCTGCTCCCATGTGCCGTCATCCGTCGTGGCGGCATGTCCGCGATCTCGTGTAGTGCAGCTCAGCGACCGCCAACGCTGTCCACGACGCGAGAAGTATCGTCCTTCTTGCCCGCACCCGCACCTGACGCCACACCAGCGTAGCTGTTGCCGTTGCCCCAAATGTTCATGGCTGAGCCAAGACCCGAGGTTCGCTTCCTGGCTCGCACAGTATTGTCTCCATCTTCATCCATGCTGAAGACGAATTCGCCGTCTTCCTCGCCTATAGGAGTCGTGTACCGCGCACTCGAGCTGATGGAACCGCTGCTGACGTGGCGCTCAGTCGTGCGTCCATTCGTTGGTCGGCCACCGATCGTCGGGCGCAAGTGTGGCGAGTCGCCCCCACTGCCATCGATACGGGTCCTCTGCAGCTGTTGAGTTAGAGCGCTGAGACCCTCCACGCTGCCCGATCTGCTTCCTCCATGCGGCCGCATGAGATCTTCGTTGAGCATCGAATTGCGAAGCGGGCTGCCGACATGACCGAAAGCGCCACTTGTAGCCAAGGCATGTCGCTTGGCGTCGTCGTCATCTCGCTGCCCTCGTTGGAAGAGAGGACCCCAGCGACTGGGACTTGCCGCCATTGGGCTTCCAAACTTTGAAGGCACTTCGGCGCTGGGCGTACCGGTGCCGCTCATTCCCAGGATGCCGTTCGTAACTCTGTGACCGTTTGCATCTTCATCGGCAGCCCGAGAGCCACGTCTGGCTTTCTCGGCAGGTGTGAGCAGATCTTTGAGGTTATCGGGCACATAATCCTCCTCGAGGAAGGGGAACTCGGCATCCCAGTCACGGTCAATCCCGCCGACAATGGCACGAGGGGCACTGCTGCTCAACAGCTTGGGCTTAGCATAGCGGCTGGAGTGCATCTGGCGTCTTCCAAAGTATTCATCCGTAGGTTGCGTTGGTGGCGATGATGCGGTTACCGTGTTGACCAGGTCACTGCTGCCAAAAGCAGACCGATGCAATGATTTGAGAGCCTCGGAAGCCCCTGTGTCCTTGGCACCAATCAATGAGGGCGACGGAGATTCGAGCCCAAAGGCGGACGGCACAGAAGATGGCCATGGGCCGCCGGGGTAACGTGCAGCGTTGGAGATGCCGTTGGAGTCGAACGAAGCTGGCAGCGGGGCATCGAGCACGGACAGACCCTTGGCGGTGATTGGCGACAAGCCCAAGCCAAGACGAGTGGGATCCTCCTCGCGGGGCGAACCATATTGCGAGCCCGTGTGTGAGTAAGTCGTGTCGATCGTGGGGAGGCCATTCTCCATGCTGGGCTGGCGATCGAGTTGATGAAGCTTGTCGCTCGGGGACATTGGGTAGCCGTAGGTACCGTATGGTTGGCTCGCATCAGCCTTCATGAATGAGTTCGTCAGGGCGCTGCTCGAGGTGTTGTAAGTTGCGCCGGCGTTTCCGCGGGGGCCGGGGTAGGGACTTTGACCGATAGTGATGCCATTCTTTCCATAGTTGATTCGACGTCCATCGGCGAGCATGTGTATGTTGGCACACTTGGGGCCAAACTTGCAGTTGCCCTGAAGTGAAGAGGGAATTGTCAGCATGAATACATGAATAGATGTTTGGTGCAGGCTCGCCGCCACGTAATCTGCGGCGGTTGCGCGCAACAAGCAGTCACAGTGCGTGACTCTGCTCCCAATCCCACCTCCAGCAGACCAAACTCACCTTTGCGAAATATTTGCAGACGGTCTCGGCGGCGGAACCGAGATCATGACTAAAGGGGCAGGCATTGCCTGCCTGACAGGCGCCCTGTCGGAAGAATTTGCAGGGCACATGCGAAGTGTCTGCAAGGGAAGCGCATCATGTTAGTAAGACGGGAACTTCTTTTTGGGGGCACAAGGAACGATCGGAAGAGAGGAGGAATCGGGGGCTAGATGTTGGATGCATCTATCTCGTCTAGCTTCGTGCGACAGAAGGAACAGGACGGTCACGACTGATTGCGCCCGACCTGCCGCGGCTCCAATATACGATGGATGCAATATAGCATAAGAAGAAAGAAGGAAAAAATAATCACATACTCGGAGGACTTCGAGGCCCGTCAAATCTTTGTGCAGCCGACATGGGCCCCATTGTGCCGGCAGAGGAGGGAGGAATGTTGAGACTCCCAGATCTCACGTGCCGGAATTCAGACATGATGGTCGGAAACCTGGGAGTGAACAAAACTGCAAAGCAGTTGGAGTTGGCGAAGGAGGGGAGATGATTTTTTTTTTTCCCTGTCAAAATTGGAAATTTTGGTTTCAGACGGGAAGAGGAGGGGGGAAGGGATTCCGGGTCGAGTTTATCGTGGATATTATCGCAAAGGTAAAAAGGTGGCGGACGGTGGAGGAGACGGAAAGGCGGTTGATAATAATGAGGGGCAATTACGAACGGCGGAGCAAAAGAGAGAGAGAGGGAGAGTCGAGTAGTGAGTGAGGGACAATAGACCGGGGGGTCAATTGGTTGGTCAGATTGGTTCTGGGCTCTGGCTGCTCCCTCTTGGGACTGACCGGGATGGTTATCGATTTGACGGAACCGATTGATTGATTGATTGATTTTTGGCTTGAACGAATGAATGGGAAACTGATGACTGGGCCTCCTTCTCTCTGTCTCCTCTTCTCTCTCGATGAGCGAGCCCAAAGCCGAGCCTAGTTTTGAATGATATGAGCTTGGACGCCCGCTTTCGGTCGGCTCGAAATCACACTGGGGTCCTTATCAGCCGCTGTAACCTCGATAACCTGGCGAGTCTGGGCCGCGATGACGAGGTGGGCTCGGTGGGATGGGGTCGGATGCTCTGGGATGGGATGGATGCAACGCGATGCGATGGGGATGGAGCCCAGCAGCGTCGTCCTGCCTGTCAACCTGCTGTCCTGTCTGTTGGTCTGTACTATGTAGGTAACACTTTAGCCCCGCGCGTCGAGAAGTACCGTATTAGGCTGTGTGTGTCTATGTGTCTGATGCTGCACGGTGAACCATGTACTCGAGAAATATATTTCTGTGTGATATTAGTGGCTTGCGACAATAATGACAGAAACAGAAAAAAAGAAGTTTGACAATATACGAAAAAAGGTGGTGTCTGTAGAGAAACAAATCTCATATCATAAAAAGAAGAAGAAAAGAACAGCGCCCATTGCACGTTTATTGAGCTTGGTTCGCCGTCAAGGATATGTGTGTATACTTACATTGTACTTGTGTGTGGGGGGAAAGGACGGGGGTTCGGTATCAAAGGCAGATATGCCAGACACACGGATCAGGTCGAATAAGTAGATACTTGGTCCAACTAGTAGTCACGTCACAAATGTTGTACCCATCAGTTCACCAGTGGTTGCAATATCTGGATCGTTTCAGTGCTGAACAGGTAGCCGACAAAACTGCTGCAGGAGAAATCGAAAGTAAAGAGGTAAGAGGATAGCTTTCGTCCTGGAAAACCAACCGAGTTCGAACGAGTTGGTAGATCGATAAAAGATGGAAAGATAGAGATACCTGGTAACAGGCATGAAGGAATGAGCACATATCAAGTCATCAATCGTCCGTCTTTGCCAATGCAGTAGTCCCATGTGCGGCGATCCACCTTACAGAGGCTGCGTGCGCACTTGTCTGTGCTACCTGCTCGAACTCTTTTTCACCTAGAAAAACAGGGGACCTCGTGTGGTGCCTCACTCACTCATGCAGTACCGGTCTGTATCTCAGCGGTCAGTCAGTCAGTCAACCGACCCGCTGGAATTTTTTTAAACTCTGGTGACAGGACAGGGCGGTGGGGTGGAATTTGTGCAGGATGCAACAAGTAAAAGAGGCGAATCAAGACAACGGCGGCGAGACGGACGGGAACGATTTCTTGTCAAGATGGGTCTAAGCTCAAGGTAGAACAAGATCCAACCCGCCCAGATGATCAAATCAGCGACTGCAGACGGGGCCGCGATACGGGAGGGGAGAAGGGTCCAGCTGCAAGCACAGGACTGGATCGGGTGTTGAGACTGGCATGAAGATCCGACCGACTCATGGGACGAATAGTCGGTAACTCCACCCACAGCGAGCAGTCAAGGCAACCACGAAAAGAGGAGAGGATGGAGAGGGGTGATGGGGGTTGCGTTTCGAGGAGTTACGACTACGTTTCGACGCGATGGACGGAGACGCAACCTAATCTAACCTCTAAATGAAATTCCGTTCCAGGCGGTTCGTAAGTTGTCCAGTAGGTAGGTAGGTCCTGTCAATAGGTACTGGTGACGGAGGAAGAGAAAGTGTGTGTGTGTGTGTATGTGTGTGTTGTAAGAGGCATGTATAGGACTCCACTTTCCGCCGCTCGCCTTGCCCAGGTTTCCCCGATTTGCTTAACCTGAATGGTTGTATTTTCAGTGTCGATTGTTCAATGTTGTTTTCTGGGACCCCGTGCTAATGCAGGCGCGGGCGGAAAAGTAGCCCAGGCGGATGGGAAGGTTTGGACTAGATATTGTCAAAGACAGGGCTTGCATGCGACCACAAGTAAATCTGGAATACGGTAAATGTCTTTCTTGATTCTCGATTGAGACGGAGGCGTACTTGTCGAATTTATACTCGTGCGCAGATTCTCATGGCTTCCTATTCAATTTAGGTATTCAACTCGGTGAAAGCTTGTGTTGTTAGTCCCCGCCTGTGCTTATGAGGAAGATTCGCTTGGAGGACCAGGAGCCGCTAGTCGGGAAAAGGATTGGACCTCACAGTCGTGGACCGAGAGGACAAGCATTCAGCCACATTCGAGTAATCATAAAGGTGTATATCATCATATTTCTAGGTAAGCAAGCACATATGCTTGACACGAATGCAGGGCACTCGGTGGCTCGCGGCATAAACTTGGCAAGATTTGTCAGTTTGCCGGCCGCCTGGGTTCGAGGCTTGAGTCATCAGTCTCAAGCTTTCTCAGTGAGATCGATCCGTCCTTGGACGACAGATAAACTTGAAGACTACATTACACAGATGAATACGGTTGCTGAGTACCCATGTAGATAGGTATGGTACCTATGGCATTCACGAGCAAGTGCATACAATTGTAATTGATGGAGAACGACCACGGGAACCAAAGTACAACAAACGGTATCAAATCATAAACGATGGTATGTACGCAGGAACTTTTTTTTTTTTTTTCGGTTTCTTCCCTTCTAGGAAAGCTTTCCACTGATGATGGGACGTGTACGGAATACCTATGGCCCATTCCGCTCCCTTCACCAATCTACCAACCTGCCGCGCCCCAACATAAACTTGTAGGATATGGAGTCACAGTCACAACTCTGCTCACAATGAAGCATCTACATACCCGCTGCACGGCAACTTTGGCATTTTGAACAGTGGTTCTCTACAACTGAGACACGCATCCCGTCATCCCCAGAAAGCGGTCCAAGTTCAGCCTTTTCCGTCCGCGTTTATCGCAACCACCTGAGAATGCGATGAAACGTCTTATCAAGTCACTGGTTACACACAGAACTGCTCTAGACTGCATGTGAACATTACCAGCGGGCCGATCTGGGAACAGTGGAACATGTCGGTCTTTTCCTCGTAGACAACCATTGGTCAATGTACCTGACAGTTGCAGGCCCCAGAGAAGGATCAAGCACTGCGAATCGAAACCACGGGACCCAAGGATCCGGCAAAGTAATTCCAGTTTAAAGAGAGAAAGAAAAAACCCAAGCTGCACCCACTTTGGGAAAGAGACGTCATATGTGCATGCGCTTCAATGCTTTCCGGCCGAAGGCAAAGTCTCGCGATCATGCCAACCTTCCAACGCTATATGATGACCTACCTGCCTGCCCCTGTGCCTGAAGGGTGGTTGGTTATCCATAAGCAGAAAAGCAGGCAAAAGTAGCGTGGGCAGATGGACGGACACATGAGCATGATTATCAGTTCAGTCTGACCCCCAAGCCGACAGTGCCGTAGGAAAAAGGTCAATATGCGGTTTTGCTGACGAGCTAAAAAGGGTAATAGTGCTTCCCTATTCAGCCCAATCCGCTTTGATCGTGCGCCACACGATTGTTCTCGATCGACCTGTCAAGTTCCTTGGATGAGCTGAGGTCCCAGAGGTTACTGGAGACTGGTTGTTTTTGTTGTTATAGCTAAACCCAGCTGAATTTTGGGGTACAGTTTAGTGGGGGGTCCAGGGACCAGGGAGAATGGCCTAACCTAGATCTGTAACACAACACACCTGGACACACCAATATGGATGAATACATCCTACCTACCGTACCTCTCAACCCGCTGACCCTTATAGCTAGGCGACCGGTGTTGCCCTTAGAAGTTTCTCTCGGAATTTGAAAGTGCCTTTTCTTTCACAAAATGATCCGTATCAGCGCCGCTCACTTGGCGATGGAAAGGACATATTGCTCCAACGTGGGCAGGATGTCAGACCATGCATGTTCTAGGCGCCCATCGTAGCGTAGGTACATTCCTACTCTGTACATGGACGAGGTGGTGGATCTAACCCCCCCTCCCCAAAAAAAAAAAAAAAAAAAAACTGCAGGGTTTCGTCCAAATGCAGAAAGCTCACGGCCAACTTTATGGTGAAAATGCGACAGGATCGATCCCTTCCGCAGCCGTTGATAAA